ACTAGGTACTAGTTTTCCTGGAATCTAGTGTGATACCATTTTCCGGTACAAATTGTCCACATGTTCTCCCATGCTATGCTTAGGAGTTTAAGGACCATGTGTGGTACTACTTTGGTGTTTGAACACTGGAGTGACTGCTCTAACTGAACTTCTCAGCGTTAATGCACACCGTACATTAAGGCTTAATGTATACGCCTCTGCACTCATAAAAATGCCAAAAAAGGCAAAACATGTGGACAATTTAATCCGCCACTGTACTTTGAACTATTTGTGCTGTTGCTAATGCTGCTTCTGTTGGCTCTGCTGCAAGTTCGTCGAGGGAGTTGGTGCGAGAAGGTTAAGGCGTGACGTAGAAGACATTGAGACCACGATGGTCTTGGCGTTGGAGATTCGGTTCCCAATGATGATGCCAACGAGCAAGTGAGACGTTCTTCTCACTGTCGCCAGATGCTTTCACAGGTGAAAACCGTACAACGCAAGCGTCGTCTTTAATTTATGCGATGCCGACTAAATTGCTCCTTCTTGTCGCCCATGTATAACTCCGTGAGCGTCGTGCTGGCGGTGTTGACGAAGCAGATGCTACTTTCTATCAGCTGCGCTTGTGATAAGAGGTTGAAGCCGAGTCCCGTGGCAACCCACAAGCTCTGCGTACTGACCACTAGGCTCGACTAGCTTGTCATGGACTGGAGCCGAGAGCTTGTGATTTACTGGCAGAGGGGTGGGCTGTGCGGAGGAGAACTGAAGGCCAAACCTTTGAAGGACCTTGCACTCCAAGTGTGACTGTGTGAAAGTGATGGTGCGCGCTGCTCTGTCCCTGGAGATCCGCAGCCCAAGGTAGCGGTGCAGCTCTCATAGGTCATTGCAGGTGTGTCTCCTCAGCAGCTCAGCCTTCACCGTGGCAAGTGCGTCTCTGTCTGCAGTAGCGAAGACCAGGTTGTCTTCGTAGACTAGGATGTAGAATAGAATCTGGCCTGCGCGAACAAAGAGAGACGTGTCAGCATAGGATGGATAGAATTGAAGGTGTGCTAGTGTAGCACGTAGTGTGTCGTGCCACTTACGGAGCGCCTGCCGCAGATTGTAGACCTGGCGCTGGAGGAACCACTCAGTCATAGGAGGGAAAGAGCTAGAGAAGCCTGACGGACGGCGCAGGTAGATGTGCTTGTGCAAACGGCCCTAGAGGAAAGCTGTGGAGAATTCAAGTGAGTGAAGCTCGTAGTTGCGCTATGCTGCTACGTGAAGCAGCGCCCGAAGAGTGGTCATCTTCGGGGTCCGGTCGAAGGTGTAGAAGAAGTCAACCCCCTCGCGCTAATTGAAGCCTCTAAAAACGTAGCGCGCCTTGAACACCGACAACTCTCTAGGAAGACGCTTCACCTTGAAGAGCCACCGGCCATCGACTACGTTCGTGCCAGATGGAGGAATTGCGTCAACGTATGTGCGTGGATCTCCAAGATGCCATCTCCGCGTCCATGGCAGCTACCCACTGAGAGGCCCAGGGTCCTGAGGTTGCCTCAGCATAGGTGCGAGGGTTCGGGATGTCAAGAGCGTTTGGGTTGCCCTCGGGGGTTAGCGGCATGGAGCAGAGATGAGAAACGGCCTCCAGGCCGTCCTCTAAGATGTCACTGTCAGGCGGGTCAGTTTGGCAAGATGAGTGAGGGCACTGTCAAAGAGGAGCGAGATGCCGCTTAGGTTTATCCCAGAAACTTCTGGAATTGTTGAATTCCACAACCCGATGATTGCCTGCACCCATGCTCGACAGCGAAGGTCAACATTGGACGGGCAATGAAACTAAGCATGTGACATTTGGAACGTGGCAAAGGAACAGATCGTTCGTGCCGCACTCACCACCCATATCATTTTTCCCTCGATGCTAGAAGTGCTCTCCAGTTTCGCCACTCTGCATCTCACTGCATCCACCTTCTTCCTCGATTCCCGCAGTTCACTCTTCACAATGCGGCTCGCCACAACACTCATAATCTCCTGCCATTCGCCCTCCCTTTTCACCTCATTCTGCTTTCCTTCTGCCACGTCACCCTCTGCCCCCGCCTCTGAGGCCTGTCCTCTGAGACGTCACTGCTAAGGGCAGGTGCACCCCCAACGAACGGAGGACGGGCAGGGTCAGAGACAAGAGCAGTGGCATAGTTAAGGCGGCGGGTAGAGGCAAAGTCCGCGATGGCAGCGACAAGAGCCGAGAGACTGGAGACAGGCATGAACGGGTCGGTAACAAGAGAGGCGAGAACACAAGGAACGAGAGGGCGAGCAACACGAGGAAGTCAGAGAAAGGAGTTGAGGAGACTACGAGAGATGACTGAGGAGGCGATGGGAGAATAGGAACCGGAGGAGCATGAGACATGAGAGAACGGAGAGATATAGGGTGAACACTCAGAGCTGGAGAGACGAGACTACCATGAGAGAAGCAGTGAGACCACCAGCGCGAGGGGGGCATAGGGTCAGGAGACAAAGGAGGAGACACAGGAGGAGAACGAGGGGGGAAACGAGCCGGGGACGAGTCCGACGGAGGGAACACATGGCCGTAGACAGGAGGAGGAGGTGGCTCTGGGAGAGGCGCGCGAACGGTCGGTCGGGAAAGGGAAGGGTGGACACTGGGGGCGGTTGCTGCTGCTGCTGCTCTGCGCCCACACCAGGACCTGCAGCCGCACCATGGCTACACTCAGGACTCGCCAAAACAGCACCCCCAGGACTAGCACCCCAAGAACTAGCACAGCACCCCCAGCGCAAACACTCCCAAAGCCCATGGATCCCTACTGCGGCGGTTGCTGCTGCAACTGCCGCTGCGGTGGCGGCAGAGGAGGCACCGGGGCTGAGGGTGCTGGCGCTGCAGAAACAGGTGGCTCACCTTGAGCCTCAGGACCCCTGGAGTCAACAGACTATTCTGCTGGGCCAACTCAAGGAAGGGGAGTGATGTAAGACCCACCAGACGGGGCAGGACGGGGCGCAGGAGCTACCGGGGGAGTAGGGACTAAAAACAGGGGCGGGGTAACGGGGAAGCCTCGGTGGGGGGAGCGAGTGTAGAAGGAGACAGACTCGTCAAAGGTGGCGTCACGTGAGTGAAAGAAGAGGTAAGACGACGGGTGGTAGAAGTGCCAGTCAGAAGCGTCTAGGGGGAAGCCAATAAAAACACAAGGGACGGTGCGGGCAGTGAGCTTGTCCGCGCGAGAGGCAAGGACGTAAGCTAGGCAGCCCTAGACTTGAAACGCAGATGCGTCACCGGGGGACCTGGTCCAGAGAAGGGTCGGCGAAACCTGTGGGCGCGAAGACAGGAAAAGCTGGTGTTATGAGCAGTGGCTAGGCGGTATGGGAGGCGCGTGGCTAGGAAATACAGTGAGCTGAGCCTAAGTGCTAGTAGCGCGGTAGCTAGTCTCGAGAGCGCGCAGGTGAGTGGCAAGATCAGCGACAGCGGGGAAGGACGCGATGTCAGAGAAGAGTTGGGGCAGGAGGAGACGGCCAGCAGAGGCGGAGTCGGGAGTTCAATAGCAAGCGATAACTGCGTCTAGGAGCTCCTTGGCCGTTTGAAAGCAGGGACGCTTGGACAGTAGGAGAGCGTGACTCATAGCTAGCTGCGCAGTGGTGTCACCCGACTCCCAGACAGAGCGGGCGAGTTCAGTAGCTATGAAAGCCTCACGCTCAGCAGGTGTCGGGACGTCAGCAAGGGCAACAGGCGCGGGGGGGCAGGGCAGCTTACCGTCGACATGGACGGCCAGAGACTGGCCATCCTGGCACTGACCCTTTAGTTGGCGGCGCAGGTCGGCGAGCCACGCCTCGAAATCCACCGCACGGCCCTCGGCGTCCAGGTGGAGAACATCGTCCACCATCACACACAGCTGCAGCAGCTGGAGAGCTCAGGCAGAGGAGGAGCAGGGGGGAAGCTGGAATGGAAGAGTACGGTGGAGAGCAGTGGAGTGCGGTAGAGTGCGGTGGTGTGCGGTGGGGTGTGGTGGAGTGCGGTGGAATGCAGTGGAGGGCAGTGAGAGGAGACAACTGGCGGGGGCTCCGGCACATAGGAGAAACCAGGGCCATCGGCGAGCAGGGTCCGGCGCGGCGAGGTTGGGCCGACACGGCGAGCTGGGGCAGCGCGGCGAGCTAAGCCGACGCTGCGAGCTGGGGCGGCGTGGCGAGCTGGAGCCAACGCGGGGAGCTGGGGTGGTGCGGCGAGCTGGGGCCGGCGCGGCGAGCTGGGGTGGCGCGGCGAGCTGGGGCCGACGTGGCGAGTTGGGTCGACGCGGCGAGGTGGGGCCAACGCGGCGAGCTGGGGCGGTGCGGCGAGCTGGGGTCGGCGCGGCAAGCTGGGGCCGGCGGCAAGCTGGGGGCCGCGCGACGGGCTGGGGCCGTCGCGGCGAGCTAGGGCGGCGCAGCGAGACGGGGCCGATGCGGCGAGTTGGGGTCGACAAGGCGAGCTGGGGCCAGCGCGGCGGGCTAGGGGACAGTGCGGCACGGTGAGCTAGGGGTCGACGCGGCGCGGCAGGCTAGGGGCCAGCGCGGCATGGCGAGCTAGGTTAGGGGCGCTCTATAGTAGGCTAGGGCGGGGCGCTCTACGGTAGGCTAGGGCTGAAGCGCGGGTGGGTGGGACCTACCTAGCGTGATACCATGTCAGAGTGACCAAACGAACTCTAGCAAGAGCATACAGGGTGATATAAGGGTTTGGGTTGTACTCTCTAAGAGCACGAACCTGTCTAGCCTATAACTATACATGCACAGCAATAAGTTGACACCTCGTGTCGTGGTGTAGCATGCTTCTGCTCCAATGGCTTGACCTAACAGTCAGCAGTGAGGCGGAGGTGACACCAGGGTGTGATGTGATGGAGATGGCCTTGACAGGATACGTACCATACATCACTAAATTCATGAGGCTACCATGAAGCTCACTCCATATGTCACTGCACTGCAGATTTTTCCCTTCAAATATGGAACTGACAAACGAGCCACACTTTTTCGTGCCTCCATGAGTCATGATTCATGAATCATGCTTCTACTCCGTGCAATCCAAAAAAAACTTTCACATGCATTCATGTCACCCAGGAGCTTTCTGCATCCGAGCTTCCGCTGCAGCTGCAGCAGCAGCCGCTAATAGAAGCCTCTCATGTTCCGCCCTTCCTGCAACCCCCACTGCTGTTCCCTGTGCTGCACCCGGTGGCACCGGCATCGCACTTTCTCCGGCCTCCCTGTCTGCTGCAGTGGGGCAGCCTTGAGGGAAGAGGGCGGTGACATCAGCAAGGGTGAGCGAGTCGCGGTCCTTGCAGGACAGCGGCTTGACGGCACCATGTGCGGCAGAGAGATGGGGTGGTGCAGCAGCCTTGGAGCGAGCCAGGCTGTGGATGGCTGCTTCCACTGTGTCCTGCACCTGCATGGGGTGAGTGGGAGAGGCAGGGGCAGAGGGGAGGACAAGCGCAAAGAAGGGCAGCCTTGAGGGAGGAGAGTGCAGACATCAAGCAAGAGAGTGCCATGCATCTTTGGCTTACAATAAATCCAGGCACGCAGAGGTGTGCCGTACATCAGATGCCGCACAGCGCAGCGCATCAGCTGCGTACAATGAACCGGGGAGCCATGCATCGTTGCCTTACAATGAATCGGTGCACATAGGTGCGTTGGGTCTGCCCAATGCGGTGCACGCGGTTCATTGCCTGCGCCTCAGCCGCGGCGTTGAGCCCCGGCTCCACAAACACCACGTGCTGCGCCTCCACCACGTTCAGCCCGTTGCCTCCTATCGCCGTCACCAGCAGCAGCACCCGACACTGCTCCGTTTCTCCCTCGCCCTCAGCCGCTTCAACGGCAACACTGCCTGCTGCCCCTCCTCTGACACCAATGCTGGCAGCGGTAGCAGCAGCTGTGGCAGCGGTTGTAGCAGCAGAGGGAGCTGGAAGGGCAGCAGGCAGAGCAGAGCAGAAGGAGCGCTTGCGGCGCTTGCTGCGGGGCTTATGCGAAAGATGACAGGTGGAGGGAGCAGAGAGGGCTGGTGGAGCAGTGCATGCTCGAAAGCGCTTCAGTGCTGGAGGCACTTCCCTGGTGGGAAGAGCATGAGGGGCAGGCATGCATGCAGAATGGTGAACTCAGAGTGTGAAAAAGAACAGGAGAGAAGGATAGAAGAATGTTTGGTGGCAGGTGGAAGGAGACTGGCAAACTAAACTTCTCGAGTCCTTTTTCATGCGATCTCAGCATGAAATCATGAGTTCATGTCTTCAAGCATTCACCAGTCAAAAAGACAACTCGATTGCCTTCAGACGCATCTGCTCAACTCTGTCATCCAGAAACGGCATTGGCATGTGGCCAGTGGGCCATAACGACGAGGGGAAGAAGGGTAAGAACGGGCGAGAGTAGCAGGAAAGAAGCACACCGATGGGTGAAGGCGGAGGCGGTGGGGACGGCGTTGGCATGCAAGCAGTGCGCGACGAGGACGAGCACCTCCCGCCACGCGCTGAATATGATGATGCGGGCAGAAGGGTCCGCGCGCAGGATTCGTAACACTCGGCGCGTTACTGCGTCTAGCTGGAGAGATGAAGATTTAGAGATGTGGGGTGACAAAGGAGGCATGGGGTGGCATGGGGAGGTATGAAGAGTCATGGGGTGGTATGGGAAGGCAAGGGGAGGCATGGAGAGGCATGGGGTGGCATGGAGAGGCATGGGGTGGCATGGAGAGGCATGGGGTGGCATGGAGAGGCATGGGGTGGCATGGAGAGGCATGGGGTGGCATGGAGAGGCATGGGGAGGCATGGAGAGGCATGGGGAGGCATGGAGAGGCATGGGGTGGCATGGAGAGGCATGGGGTGGCATGGAGAGGCATGGGGTGGCATGGAGAGGCATGGGGTGGCATGGAGAGACATGGGGTGGCATGGAGAGGCATGGGGTGGCATGGAGAGGCATGGGGTGGCATGGAGAGGCATGACGAGCATGAGGTGAGGATGCCAGGCATACGAAAATGAAACTAGAAAGTGATCTGGACCTGTCATCCTCACCTCGTGCTCGTCATTCGGTGATAGCTTTCACGGAATTAGATGTGGCAACACACCTTAGTTCCGAATCCTGTGTGAAAGCTCATCTCCTCCTCCTGCATCCGCACTGCATACGGCACCTCCGCCTCCCTCCCCTCCCTCCCTCTCCCATCGCCCCCGCCACTGCTGCCGCTGCGACAACAGCAGTCATGTGCCTCCCTGCTTGGGTGTAACAGTGCACCTGCTGATGCTGATGCTGATGCTGATGCTGATGCTGATGCTGATGCTGAAAATGATCCGCAATGGCAGGGACCATTAGGTTGCTGACCACAATCAACCGCATCCAATCCCTCACCGCCTGTCCTCTGATTCGCCTGCATGGCAGCAGCAGGGTACCCGTGGTGGTCCCTGTGGTTGTCCACATAGGCGATCGCAGACGCTCTCGCCACGTGGCGGCACGTGGGGCACCGCATGCGCCGCTCCCTGCTGCTGCTGGTGTTAATGCTGGTGGCGTCAGGGGAGCGGCGGTGAGCGGACAGTGAAGGGGACCGTTCCACCAGCAAACATGTGCCTGCAGAGATGACACAGTGGGATGACGTGCTGAGATGAAACGGTGCGAGATGACATGGTGAGATGAAACGGCAAGTTGATACGGTGAAGGAGACAGAATGGTGAGAGATGACACGGATGGAGTTGACTCACACTTGCAGCAGAGCAAATGGCCGCACGGCAGCACCGAGAGCTCATTGCCAAACGGCTCTCTACACACAGGGCAATTCTCATCCTCTCCCTCCCCTTCCTCCTCCCAACCCCCCTTCTGTGCCGCCCCTCCACACACCCCTGCAGGCACCTTCTCTTCCTCTCTACTGCAGTCAATCCTTCCTTCACTCTCTCCCTCCTCCTTCCCCTTCACTCCTTCCCTCTCGCCCCCTCCCTTCACTGCTTCACCTCCTGCCATCTCCTCCCCTCCACCGCAGCCGCCCTTCTCCAAGTGCTTCCCAGTCCCTTTCCCAGCCTCCTCTCCCTCCCGTCCCTCCTCTCCTTGCCCACCCGCCTCGCCCTTCCCATCACCCGCCCTCCCCACTCTCACCTTCACTCCCAATCCCTCCTCTCCATCTCCTACGCCCCTCACCCCACTCGCTCCTGTGTCTCTCCCATCCCCCTCCCCTCCACCCCTCGCCCTCCCCAGTCCTTCCTTCCGCTTGGCCACCCGTCTCCGCTCCTCTGCCAGGCCTCGCAGGTACCGCAGCTGCCCCTGGCTCGCCTGCAGCTGGGTGTCAGCCGCCAGCCTGTCCTGCGTTAGAAGCACGCTCAGCACCGGCACCTCCTCCTCGCTCACCCGCGCCATGCGCGCAGCCGCTGCTGACCTGGCAGCCAGCGGCTCGTCCACGTGGCGCAGCGTGATTCGCGTGACAGCCATGTGCAGCTCGTCGAGAGCTCGAAGCACCCCCCGCTGCGCCTCGGACCATGCCCGGGCCAAGAGGAACTCACGCCGCATTGCCTGGCATGGGGAGGGGAAGGAGCAGCAGAGGAAGTTGAGGCGCGTAAAGATGGCAGCGTGATCCGCGTGACAGCCATGCGCGGCACGTCCAGGGCTTGCACGACCCCCTCGCTGCGCCTCAGACCATACTCGTGCCAAGAGGAACTCACGCCACATAGCCTGATGCGTAAGTGACACAGCAGAGGGGAGGCAGCAGAGGGGAGGCAGCAGAGAGGAGGCAGCAGAGAGGAGGCAGCAGAGAGGAGGCAGCAGAGAGGAGGCAGCAGAGGGGAGGCAGCAGAGGGGAGGCAGCAGAGAGGAGGCAGCAGAGAGGAGGCAGCAGAGGGGAGGCAGCAGAGAGGAGGCAGCAGAGAGGAGGCAGCAGAGGGGAGGCAGCAGAGGGGAGGCAGCAGAGGGGAGGCAGCAGAGGGGAGGCAGCAGAGAGGAGGCAGCAGAGAGGAGGCAGCAGAGGGGAGGCAGCAGAGGGGAGGCAGCAGAGGGGAGGCAGCAGAGGGGAGGCAGCAGAGAGGAGGCAGCAGAGGGGAGGCAGCAGAGGGGAGGCAGCAGAGAGGAGGCAGCAGAGAGGAGGCAGCAGAGAGGAGGCAGCAGAGGGGAGGCAGCAGAGAGGAGGCAGCAGAGAGGAGGCAGCAGAGAGGAGGCAGCAGAGAGGAGGCAGCAGAGGGGAGGCAGCAGAGGGGAGGCAGCAGAGAGGAGGCAGCAGAGAGGAGGCAGCAGAGGGGAGGCAGCAGAGGGGAGGCAGCAGAGGGGAGGCAGCAGAGGGGAGGCAGCAGAGGGGAGGCAGCAGAGAGGAGGTAGCAGAGAGGAGGCAGCAGAGAGGAGGCAGCAGAGAGGAGGCGGCAGAGAGGAGGCAGCAGAGGGGAGGCAGCAGAGGGGAGGCAGCAGAGGGGAGGCAGCAGAGAGGAGGCAGCAGAGAGGAGGCAGCAGAGGGGAGGCAGCAGAGAGGAGGCAGCAGAGAGGAGGCAGCAGAGAGGAGGCAGCAGAGAGGAGGCAGCAGAGAGGAGGCAGCAGAGGGGAGGCAGCAGAGAGGAGGAAGCAGAGGGGAGGCAGCAGAGAGGAGGCAGCAGAGAGGAGGCAGCAGAGAGGAGGCAGCAGAGGGGAGGCAGCAGAGGGGAGGCAGCAGAGAGGAGGCAGCAGAGAGGAGGCAGCAGAGGAGAGGCAGCAGAGAGGAGGCAGCAGAGAGGAGGCAGCAGAGAGGAGGCAGCAGAGAGGAGGCAGCAGAGAGGAGGCAGCAGAGGGGAGGCAGCAGAGGGGAGGCAGCAGAGGGGAGGCAGCAGAGGAGAGGCAGCAGAGGGGAGGCAGCAGAGGGGAGGAAGCAGAGGGGAGGCAGCAGAGGGGAGGCAGCAGAGGGGAGGCAGCACCAGATAGGGGCAATGAAGAAGGACGTGGAAATGAGAATGGCGTGAGAGGAGAGGTGCGGGCGGGAAACGGATGAAAGGGCAATGAAGACAGTGAATGAAGACAGTGAATGAAGACACTGAATGAAGGCACTGAATGAAGACACTGAATGAAGACACTGAATGAAGACACTGAATGAAGGAGACACTGAATTGGAACGTCTCACCAATGATTGGAGTCCTTTTCTTCAACGCCAAAACATGCCATGGTAAACCAAGTCGTGCCACCACGCGTGAAACCATGCCATGGCACTCGGGAGGCGCAAGCGACAAGAGGCCAGTGCGCCCATCCGCAACTCACCTCCAGTGCATCCAGGGTGCTGGATGCCGCAGCTGCCAGGCTGGCCTGATCCTCCACTGGGATGATGCCGCGTGGCAGCGATCGGAGCACCGACGCCAGCACAGTCAGGCATCTCTCCGTGTCAGACGGGTTCCACACCACCGACCCCACCTTGGCCCCTACCTCGCCTGCCCCGTCCCCTCCCTCAACCCTGCAGCCCCTGCCTCTGCTATCCTGTCCCACCGCTGCTGCTGCGCCAGCCAATGGTGTGCGGCGCAGTCCGAGAGTGGATTGTAGGACGTTGAGAGGGTTGTGCGACAAGGAGGGCGGGTGAAGGGGGTGGTCGGAGGAGGAGGGGAGGGAGGAAGAGGAGGAGGAGGGGAGGGAGGAAGGGGCTGATGAGATGCGCAGGTGGAAGAGACAACGCTCGTAGCGCTGGCAGGGAGGGAAGGGATGGTGGAAGGGCAGGGAGACATAAGGAAAGAAAGAGAGGAGAGTGAGAGGCGATGGGAGGGGACGGAAGGAATGAGGGCAGCTGAATGTTGCCATTGGAGGTAGCTAGCACAGCACAGAGTGGGTTGTGGGCATGAAAGGAGCTGGTACAACCATGCAATGGGAAGAAGACCAAACGTTGTTAGAATGAAAAAAAAAACACAACACATGCGATATAAATAGACCACAACAGAAAGAAAAACGTGCACATTATGTTGTGGGGGCTTGAGTACGCATTGAGGTAGAGCGGGTGGAAATAAAATTGAAGCAAAAATCTCTGTTACTCTGAGGATTCGTTCGATGAAAGCTTCGGCCGAAACTTGCGCACGCCCTTGGATGCTTCATCAAATGAGTAAAACTCATTCAATAGAGGACCCAAGAGCATATGCGCATATGGAGGTAGCCTTCATCAGCGAATCCCCATGCAAAAGTGACCAAGTCTGTCCTATGTCTACCCATGCTAGCTTATGCTGTACAAAGTTTGTCCACCACAGAACCACACGCAGGCAAGCAAGCAAGCACTCCTATCCAACACGAGTCGAAACTGTGAGTTCAAATCTCACCACGCACTACACCTACCTCCCCCCCACCTTATCTCTGCTCCTTCCTTCCCCTGACCACTACACTACGCGCAACCAATTGCCTGTCACATTTCTCGCCAACTCACCTCAAACAAGTCCTGTGTCTTGCAATGCATGCAGCACTCATCCCCCCCTCCCACTTCTCCCTCCCCCCCACTCCCCCCTCCACCAGCCAAGAGGCCCCCAGCCCCCCTTGTGTTCCCCCTCCCTTCCCCATCCTCCTCCTGCACGATACAGCAGCGCGCGCACGAGCCTGCCTGCGCCACAAGGGCACCATCCACGCCCTCCTGCTCCACCGGACCCCCCGCCTCCCCCACCCGCTGCAGCACCGCCCCCCGGGCGTCCAGCAGCGCATCAACCTCCCCTGCAAGTACCAGGCGCAGCCCGTGCAGTGTGCGGAACCTGTGGTGAGGGGGAGAGGGGGGTGGGGGGGGGGTAAAGGGGGGTTGAATGGAGGCGGTTCCCCTGCCAGCCAGCAGCGAGTCAACCTCCCCTGCCAGCACCAGGCGCAGCCCGTGCCGCGTGCAGAACCTAGTGTTGGGGGCGGCAGGGGGCGCGGAAGAGGGGGAGGGGGGGCCTTCTCGTCTCCCTGCAGTGCGTCAATCTCCCCTCCCAGCACCAGGCACAACCTCTAGAGTGTGCAAAACGTGGTGGGGGATGGGGACAACAAGGGTGAGGGATGGGGATCAGTTCAGAATATATGGGTATCAAGTAGAGTCTGATATACTGCCACGGTGTGATCGCGCCAGGGAAGGCGCAATAATGTCTGGAAATGGATTGCTGGTGTGTGTGTGTCATCACGAGGCACCCCTCGAGCGCGGTGCAACTGTTGCAATCAGGGTGGCCCCGTGGGCCATGGCATGACTGCGTGTGGCCCCGTGGGCCATGGCATGACTGTGTGTGGCCCCGTGGGCCATGGCATGACTGCGTGTGGCCCCATGGGCCATGGCATGACTGCGTGTGGCGAGAGAGCATCATCAGGGCTCCCATGGCACAGCGACCACACCCAGCCTGGATGCACCACACGAGCCACTTGTGGAGTGTGGGCTCGTATTGTGCATGGCGACGTCAGCCTCCTTGGGAGACAGAATGACAGGAACACATACGACAACAAAGTCTGGTGGGCTTGTGCTTGGCTTTGGGAGAAACTTTGCAATCTACATCTTGTGTTTCCTCTCCTCTCTACACACACGGGCCCTTGGATAAGAACTGGGGAAAACCATGCATTCAAGATCCCTGGGAGGTGACCCCGTGGAAAGAACCTTGCAACAATCAATTGTTGTGCATCGATTTTAGCGTATTCCTAGTTCCTAATGGAAGGCACACCTGAGAGGGGCACAACTGAGGGAGGCACACCTGACGGAGGCACACCTGGGGCCAACACACACCTGAGGCCGAGGCTGGCCCTGTTGTGAGCGCCTGGCGTGCGGTGGTCGTCATTGAGTAGCGTGCGGTGCAGGCGGGCCGTGATGCTGTCAGCCAACGCTGGGGGCGCGGAGGAGTCGAGCGCTGCGAGGAGAGCGAGCCACCAGGGGGAGGAGGCGGTGGAGAGGAGAGATGCTGCGAGATGGTCGTCCACCTGCACGGGTAAAGAGTGTGCACGGGTAGGTACAATGTGAGCATGCATGAAACTTAGATGTATCTGGAGGAAATCTGGTAAGGGAGTTGCACTCGCGTGGATATGGACGTTGGAGGAGGGCAAATGGAGCAATGACATTGACAAAAGTACCGATTAATGGCATTAACGATACGAACGAAACAACATGATTGCTCGAAGTACAATAACCCAACTCCTTTGCATAGTGTTGCATGGCATATTGGGCATGGTGTTGCATGGCATAGTGGGCATGGTGCTGCATGGCATAGTGGGCATGGTGCTGCATGGCATAGTGGGCATGGTGCTGCATGGCATAGTGGGCATGGTGTTGCATGGCATAGTGGGCATGGTGCTGCATGGCATTGTGTGCATGGTGCTCTGACTGGCTCCATGTCACATGCATCTCTCTTCCCATCCTCCCTCTCGCCTGTGTGTGCACATCGTCAAACGCCTTCTTAGCAGCAGCAGCACGAGCCCTGAAGGGCGCCATGTACCTCTCCTTCAACTCCCCGCTCTCCCCCGCCAGCCGCTCATCCCTCAGTGTCCGCGCCACAACCAGCCCTCCTCCCCCGCCACCTCGCTCCACCGCACTATACCCCTCCCCATCCCCCGCCTCACTGCAGCCCTCTTGCCTCCCTTCCTTGGCCCTCGGTACTTGGTTGACCCTGTGGAGCAGGTGCAGCAGCGAGTGCAGGTTGTGCAGCACATGCAGGCGCTGGAGGGGGTCCGTGCGCAGCACAGAGCAACCAGAGGCAGAGGAAGAGACAGACCGCTCACCCCCTCTGCCTCCGTCTCCATCCCCACCCCCATCCCGTTCCCCATCCACACGCCTCCCCCCATCCCCATCCCCATCCCCATCCCCATCCCCATCCATCACTCGCAGCACGTCACGGTAAATGCCCACTGCCTGCACCGCACCTGGGCCCCACTGGTGTACGGCCTTAAGGGCTTGGTGCAGGGAGTGTGAGGAGGAAGAGGGAGAGGAGGCGTGGGCGGGGAGGGAGGGGGCGTGGATGGCAGCGAGTGCTGCAAGGCCGTTGAGAGCCGAGATGAGAAGGCGCTGTGCTTCTTCTGCTTCCACACGAGCTTTCTCCGTCAGCACCTGGGGGCGAAGCCATGGCAACGCATGAAGATTTGAGTACGGGCGTTTGAGGTGTGCTTTGAGTCGACTCAATGAAAGGACGCGCACGCAATGAAAGAATGCATGTGCAAGCATGAGTGCCAAAGATGGTCAAACGGCATGGCAGCGCATGGCATGATGGGTACATTCCAGCGCATGGCATGGCAGCACCTAATGCACCAACCTCATGAGGCCATAGCTCGGTCGCTTTGTGCAGCCACTGGCACCAAGAGGAGCTTAATTGGTTAACACGGGCACCACATCCAGCAGAAGGGTTTAGGCAGGAGAACAAAGTTATCCCCATCCGCCTTTGTTGGCCCCCCTCTCAACCCTCCCAGCGGACTCACTTCGCAAGCCTCCCTTCAAAAGCCTACTCACTCACCTCCCCTTTTGTCTCGCTCCCCCTCTAGAGTTGTAAGCGTGTTTTGAAATTTTCTCAAAATGCTCCCCCAACCGCCTCAGCCTCTCACGCTCTCCTCCGGCCCCTCCCCCCCCGCCCCCTCCCCACCTTTCTCCCTCCCACTTGCAGCACTTGGTCCATGTGCATGGGTCACCCCTGGCTTTCAAGCGGTCTTAAACCCCTCCTGCAGTTCTCTCTTCCCCCACCTCTCTCACACCCACCTGCAGCAGTACTCTCTCCCCCCACCTCTCTCACACCCACCTGCAGTACTCTCTCCCCCCACCTCTCACCTGCAGCACTTCGTCCATGTGCATGGGTCGCCCCTGGCTGCCAAGCGGCCTGAGCCCGCCCGAGCCAATCTGGGGGTGGCAGCACGCCTGGCGCAGCAGCAGCAGCGACGCGAAGAAGCGCTCCAAGTCGGCCCGGCAGGCAAGGGGGAACGACAGCGACCACAGCGACTGCTGCTGCCTCTGCCACTCCCTTCCCCCTCCCTGCCACCCCTGCTCCCTCTCCTCCTCCCCACCCCCATGCATACCCCCGTTCTCATCCCCATCCCCACCTCCCTCCCCTGATCTCACTCTCTTTCTTCCTCCCCTCCTCCCACCTCGCTCCACTTTCCTAAGCATGCTGCTGGCCCGCTGCGCGCACTTGGCGTGCTGCTGGCGGTAGAAGTGCGCCTCGATGGCACTGAATCGCAGCGTTGAGAGCAGCTGGCGCTGAGGTGGCAGTGCCAGCTCATCTGCCACGTCAGCCTTGTGATGGCGCCACATCAGCTGGGACATGAGTGCCAAGAGGGAGTGCCATGCTGGCACGCATCCATGCTGTCGTGGCATTGGGGAGAGGGAAGGCGATAGGGGAGGGAGGAAACAGTGGTAGCACAAGACAAGACATTGTTGACAGCACAAGGGTGGCAGACCTGTTCAGTCAACGGAGCTCCTTGAGGCAACCGGCTAGAGTGGAGTCATTTTTTAGAATTCTAAAAAATGACTCCACTGATGCCAGCGTCCCATTCGGCCAGGCTCTGGGACTTGCATCGCTTGAAATGCCGTCACACGGGTTGCCTGCCACCACACACCCGCCTACTTGTTCACAACCCACTCTCCCACCGTCCCCAATCCACCAGCAAACCGCCGCACCTGAATAGGCAGCTGGAAGAAGTGCCGCCACCAGTGCGTGTCGTCAAAGGGCGAGGCTCGGAGGAACCGGAGCAGCCCCAGCAGGTCTGGGAGGCCCTTCTGGATGGGGGTGCCCGACACGCACCACCGGTGCTGGGATGACAGGCGGGCCGCCATGAGAGCAGCATTGGAGGCGCCACCCTCCACCAGCTGTGCCTCGTCCAGACACACCCGCCACCAGTGCAGGCGAGTGAGGAGAGTGGGGCGAATTTGGTACCTGGGGGATCAGTGGACGGACGCATCGGGGTTCGTTCTTGCATTGTTACCGCATAAAGGTTCCCGCCCCCACCAGCTGTGCCTCCACCAGACCAGACACAACCCGCACCAGTGCAGCCACGTTTTCAGTGTGGGGCGCACCTGCGAGGCGTGCAGAGAGGTGTTTGCATGCGCAGCTCATGTCAGGTGTGGTTTTGGTTGATAAAACGGCGACGGCCTTTCTTGGTAAAACGTCGCTGTCGCCGCGACGTTTTTCTGGCCTTTTTAGCCTTTTTTGTCTTTGGTTGCAGCAGCGTTGTGGCCCACCAGCTCACTCTCACGGCTTCTCTCGGCCCAGGACCCACCCAGAGTCTTTTACAACATCCACGTACCTTTCTCATACTCCCCCCTCTTACCCGCCTTCACACCCCTCCCTCTCACCTCTTCTTGTATCGCAGCTGCCTCGTTTGCACGTGTCCATGCCCACCCACATCGTGCCAGATGTCGCCACGCAGCGTGTCGTATGACATCAGCACGATGTCAGCAGCTGCCAGGTCATCAAGAGTCACTGAAACCACCTCCTCCCACACCGCCTCCAACCCCCCGTCACCCCCAACTGCTCCTCCTCTCAATCCCCCACCCCCAACCCCACCCAAAACCCCTCCTTCTGGAGCCATCTCTTCATCGCCTGCCGTTCCGGCCACCTGCTCTGCTCGCGCCCCTTGCGCTGCTTGCGTGCCTCTGAGGCATTGACATGTCGCCACACTACTTCCCTTGCTGCTCTCTCCATCTAACTGCCACTCTCCATCCCCGTCCATCCGCTTCAACCCAGCCTCATCCACTCCTCTCCGTCTCTCACTACCATCTCCTGGCACCCCGTCCCCTCCACTGAGCACCCCCTCCTTGGCAGCAGCACGAGAGGATGCAGTGAGAGGGGAGTCAGAGGGCTTGTCCAAGGGCACAGCAGGAGGGGGAGTGGTGAGAGGAGGGAGAGAGGGCGACGTGGTGAGAGGAGGGAGAGAGGGCGACGTGGTGAGAGGAGGGAGAGAGGGCGACGTGGTGAGAGGAGGGAGAGAGGGCGAGGTGGTGAGAGGAGGGAGAGAGGGCGAGGTGAGAGGCGGGGCAGGGGAGGGGCGGAAGAAGAGGCGCAGAGCAGGGCTGTTGACGCCCTGGTACACGAGCAGACTCACAGCGCCTGCACGGGTGTGGCTGGGGGTGGGTGGGGGGATGAGATGCGAAAGGGGGAGCGGGAGAATGGGAGGAGAGGAGTGAGAGAAAGCGTGGGCAAAGTGTTGCGATGAAGTGAAGCATCGTACGTGAAGGCATCGTGTGTAATGAGTCGATTTTTTAGTCGACTCAAAAGTCGACTCATTACACAAAGTGTTGCGATGAAGTGAGGCATCGTACGTGAAGGAAATCACAGGTGAGCCGCTCACCGCACCACCTCCTGCTGCCACTGGGGCAGAATGGCCGCAGGACACACGATGAGCGTGCTCCCACATGCGCGTACCTCCTCTCCCTCGCCACCCCCCCTGCCTCTACGCCTCCTCGCTCGCCTCCCAACCCCCGAACACCGCCGCGCCCACTGCTGCTCCTTGCTGCCATCCCCTCGCTATCAGAAACTGAGAACTTGATTGATTAAAATGAGCAAGAGCATACATCCTTAAGTACCGAGCATCGGAGAGGATGGGAAGGGATAAGGGAGAATCGGAGGGAATCCCAAGGGAATCCTCCCAAATCGTGGGGATTTGGGATGGATTGGGTTGGGATAGGTTGGGGATGAAAACATAGCTACACCCAACCTAACAAATATGAGTATCCCTAAAACCAAAAAAGTGTCAACACACAAAATTGTGCCAACCGAATTGCAGCCTATCTCTAACACACCCCCTAGGCTGCAACGTCGGAAGCCGTAGGGACGCCAAGTCCCATGGTACGGAGGAGACGATAGTGATCACGGCGTCCAAGAGCCTTCGTAAACAAGTCGGCGAGGTTGCAGTCAGAGGAAATATGCTTGACGCACAACTGCCCTCGCTGGACGAGCTCGCGCATGAAGAAGTGTCTCAATTCGATGTGCTTGGTTCGTTGGTGGAAGACAGGATCTTTGGTGAGGTGGATAGTGCTCTCGTTATCACACCACAGAGTCGGGGTCTGCTGAGGATACCCGAGCTCAGCCATGAGGTAGGTAAGCCATCGAGCTTCTTGGGCTGCCATGGTGCCCGCGTATAACTCAGCTTCGCAAGATGACAATGAGACGGATGATGAGCGTGTAGATCGCCAGCTGATGACACCACTGCCAAGGGTGAAGCAATAGCCTTGGGAAGAGCGGCGGTCAGCTTGATCATCAGCCCATGAGGAGTCGCTGTATCCCTCGAGGTGAGGAGGGGTCGTGCCACCGAGAGTGAGGACGTAGTCCTTGGTGGCTTGGAGGTAGCGAAGGACGCGCTTAGCAGCCGACCAGTGGCGATTGGTGTATCGACCGGCAGCAACGTAACGCGAGAGCACACTGATGGGGTAGGCGAGGTCGGGCCTTGTGCACATCATCGCATACATGAGTGATCCGACGAGCTCGGGGTATGCCTCATCACAAGGCTCAGGCGATGGAACTGATGGAGTGGTCAGATCATGCTGCAAGGGAAGGGGAGTGGCCACTGGCTTGGCGTTGTCCATGGCAAAACGCTTGAGGACGTTGTTCACATAGAACTCTTGAGAGAGAGTGATGGTTCGAGCTTCGCGATCCCGCGAGATTTCCATCCCAAGGTAGTTCTTGAGTTCACCGAGGTCCTTCATGGCGAGAGCGTCCCCAAGAGCTTGCTTAACAGCTGCCAGCTGATCGGAGTCCTTGGAGACGAGAATCATGTCGTCAACGTAGACAAGGATGAAGAACGGGTTGTCGTTCTTGCGAATGAAGAGACTCGGATCGGCTGAGGAGGGGTGGAAGTCGAGTGACTCGAGGGTTGCCTTCAGCTTCTTGTGCCATTCCCGAGGAGCCTGCTTCAACCCGTAGACTGGTCGATTCAGCTTCCAGACCGTGCCGGGTGGAAAGGGTAAGGGAAATCCTTGAGGACGTTCCATGTAGATGTCCTCGGGGAGATCCCCTTGGAGAAATGCAGCAGAGACGTCCATGGAGTGAACGTCAAAGTTGCATCGAGCAGCGATGTCCAGCAGGGTCCGAAGTGTGGGCAGTTTGGCTGTCGGAGAGAATGTGTCGAAGAAGTCCAGGCCCTTCTTCTGCGTGAAGCCTTTTGCACAGTATCGCGCCTTGAAGACTGGGAGTTCGCCAGGCAGTTGCTTGACGCGAAAAACCCATTTGCCACGGACAATGTTAACTCCTCGCGGAGGGGAGACGTCCGTGAAAGAGTTGTTGCGAATGAATGCTTCACACTCCGCGATCATGGCTGCGAGCCACTGGGGGGAGTGTGGTCCAGAGATGGCTTCATCATATGAGTTCGGGGTCGGGATGGATGGATTTTCCGAGAAGTTAAGAGTTGGAGCGTCGGCAAGGTCGGGGAAGAGATGGCAGAGCTGACGGATGGCAGCATTGATCTCAATCAGCTCCTCATGCCTATCCTCCAAGAGGCCAGGCATGGATGCACCCCCGGCAGGAGGAGGCGGATTGAGGGAGATGCGAACAGAGAGGGCGAGAGGCGGAGCGGGACCATGAGAGCGGGTGCGGTGAGCAATAGGGACAGGAGAGGAGGGAGGTGGCGGGGGAGCAGGTGGGACATCGACATAAGAGCGTCCGTGGCGACGGCGACGATAGGTGATGGGCGAGTCGGGAGGAGAGGTGGAGGTTGGAGGCGGAAGCGGAGGTGAAGGCGGGGAGGGAGGCGCGGGGGCAGGGGGAGCCACAGAAGGAGAGGGAGGTGGAGGGGCAGCTGCAGGAGCGGGTGCAGGGGGAAGTGCAGGCGCGGGCGGAGGTGAACGGGCAACTGAGCCAGTGGGCGAAGAGGGGTGAGAGAGAGTGGAAGGAGATGGGGAAGGTGAGAGTGAGGGGGCCGCAGGAGCGGCAGAGGGAGGAGGTGGGGTGGGTGAAGTATCGAAATCAGCCCACACAAGCGAAGGTGGAGCGGTGGGGGGTGGTGAAGAGAGGTAAAAAGGGCGACTCTCGTCAAAGGCGACATCGCGGCTACGAATGAGCTGATTGGTGGAGAGATTGAGGAAAAGGTAATCGGGAGAGTCCAGGTTGTGGCCGAGGTAGACACAGGGTTGAGCTTTGGGTGCAAATTTGCCGCCGTGGGTGCGACGTTCCTGAGGGTTGAGGAGGACATAAGCTGTACACCCCCATACGCGGAGAGGACGTGCACTGGGCTTGGTGCCGGTCCACAGTTCAGCGGGAGTGATGGCAGGCCGAAGAGGGTGAGGGTGAAGGTTGTACAGCAGCGTGGCATGAAGGAGGGCGTAACCCCAAAGGGAAGGTGGTGCACCAGCGTGAGTGAGAAGACAGCGAGCGATTTGCACGAGAGTGCGATTGCGACTTTCGGCAATGCCATTCTGCTGCGGACTGTGGGGAAGGGTGAAGGTCTGGCGAATGCCTTGGGAGGCACAGAACGCTTGAAGGGAATGGTTTCGAAATTCGCCACCGCCATCGGAATGGAGGCACTTGACTGAAGTGCGGAAATGATTTTGGGCTTGTCGAAGCCATGCGATGACGACATCTGGAACAGCTGCTTTGGAGGAGAGGAGGTGGACGGAGGCATAGCGAGAGTGATCGTCAACGAGCACTAGGAAGTAAGAGTGCCCGCCACGAGAGCGGACTGGAGCTGGGCCCCAGACGTCCATGTGGACGAGGTCAAGCGGGGCGGCTGCAGCAGAGGGCGAGGAAGGGTGAGGCAACTGGCATAGTTTGCTTTGCGCGCAGTCCAAGCATGGAGGAGCGGGAGAAGTGGAGGGTGGAGGAAGTGTGTCGGGCAGGTGAAGAAGCAACTTCTTAGACGCAAGCTCGGAGAGCATGCGGAAGTTGGGATGCCCAAGACGATGGTGGTAAAGAATGGTTGGATCGGTGAGCTGACGGCAGGAGCATGATGATGTGGTGGAGGTAGAGTGTGCTTCTGTGGAAGATGGAGGTACTTGGAGTGTGTAGAGGTTGTTGGCGGTCAGTGTGAAGCGTGCAAGTAGGGCATTGGTGGTGGGCTGAAGGAGATCACAGTGATTGGAATGAGCTGGGAAGATAGTGGTTACCCCTGCTCGTTGAATCTCATGTTGTGCAAGTAAATTGTGCCGAAGAGTGGGCACGCATATGCCAGTGACTGTGCCAGATGGGAAGGCTGGGCATGGAAGAGTGGAGGAACCATGGGCGACAGTTGTGAAGCTGGAGTCAGCGCCCAGAAGAGGAATGGGTGCTTGGTATGGTTTGAAAGACTCTTTGTCTCGGAGGACTGTGTGGGTTGCGCCACTGTCCAGGACGAATTCAAGCGGTTTAGATGGTGTTTGTGGAGACGTCGAGTACTGGGAACTGGTTTCATTGATCATGGGAAGGCCAGGGAACAACAGGTTGAGACGAACATCAGGACTAGGGGCATGAACGGCTGAGTCCTGACTATCCTGTGCCTCAACCTGGTTGAGCTGGCGCATGCGAAGCCAGTTGGGCGGCTTGGAGTTGATACCATTCTTGGCGAACCAGTCGTCGTCCTTCTTTTTGAAACAGGTGGCGAGCGGGTGATTGGTGCCGCCGCACACCTGACCCGCACGGGGTCCCATTTTGATGACGTAAGGACAGGGTGGGTAGCGGTTACGAGTGGGTGGCGGATTGGGACGCGATGCTGGAGCCGGGACAGGAGCGCGAAGCGCATTTGCACGAGCCTGCGCAGTGTTGTCTTTTTCAGCAGAGAGAAGTGCGGAAGAGACTTTGGCAAAGGTTAGCTCTTCTGGCGGGAGATGGAGAAGCATGGAGCGGGTGACATTGTAAGAGGGGGTCAGCCCAACAAGCAGAGCTGCTGCAGGGGCTTGCTCTGGGAAGACAATGCCGAGTTGCTTCAGCTCCTGATGAATCCCTTGAATTTCAGCGACGTAATCTGCCATTCCAGGGCACTCCTCCAGACGCACTTGAAACATGCGGGGGATGAGGATCGCCACCCCCACAGCGGTTTTGTTGAGGAAGCGGTCGTTGAGGTACTCCCAGATGGCGTGCGCGGAGGGGTAGTTATGGTAAGTTTTGACGAGCTCGGAAGGGGTAGTGCCGACGAAGACGCCAATGATAGCGGCGTCGGCTTGCTCCCACACGCTGTAAGATTCCTCATACTTGGACATGGATTCCTCATGGGTTTTTAACTCTTCCCCTGTGGCTGTGGCCGAGAGCTTCTTGGGAAGGATCGGCATCTTTCCTTTGCCGCGATTGAGGAGGACATCCTTGAGGCAAATCCCCTCAATTTTGCGGCTTAGGAGATGCTTATCAACCCCATAGCTCCACTCCTTGAAGTTCGGGCTCGAGCCATTTGGGTCGAGGCGCAAGGGAGTGATCGGGTTTGAGAGAGACGCGGAAGGATACGCCATGATGCTCCAAGGACCCTTTCTCCGCGCGTAGCGCAGCTCTTAAGTCGCCGATAGGCTCCGCGAAAAACAGGGTTTCCCTTTGCGGATTTTCAACACTCGGAGAAGAGGAATAGCCGATACAGAGGGAAATCTGAACGCCAAAAATCTATGGAAACCCGCGATGTGCTGCTGCAATCCCGCTGCTCCGCGACCCCCCCTTTTCTGCTTCGCCGCTGCCCCCTTTCCGCTTCGCCGCTGCACCCCCCCGCTGTTGCAAGGGCGACGGGCGACAGCCCGTCCAGCTTCGACGAGCAGATGCGGGGCGACGGGCTCAGCCCGATCAGGTGCGACGAGCAGATGCAGGGCGACGGGCTCAGCCCGATCAGGTGCGACGAGCAGATGCGGGGCGACGGGCTCAGCCCGATCAGGTGCGACGAGCAGATGCGGGGCGACGGGCTCAGCCCGATCAGGTGCGACGAGCAGATGCGGGGCGACGGGCTCAGCCCGATCAGGTACGACGAGCAGATGCGGGGCGACGGGCTCAGCCCGATCAGGTGTGACGAGCAGATGCGGGGCGACGGGCTTCAGCCCGAAAAGAAGCGCCGCGCTGAGTTGAGGCGACTAGAAAAGCTTTGCGTCGTAAGACGCAAATGCTAGGCTCCAACGGAGCGAGAGGATCAAGAGCCGCTTAGGCGGAAACGAGCTCTGATACCATATCAGAAACTGAGAACTTGATTGATTAAAATGAGCAAGAGCATACATCCTTAAGTACCGAGCATCGGAGAGGATGGGAAGGGATAAGGGAGAATCGGAGGGAATCCCAAGGGAATCCTCCCAAATCGTGGGGATTTGGGATGGATTGGGTTGGGATAGGTTGGGGATGAAAACATAGCTACACCCAACCTAACAAATATGAGTATCCCTAAAACCAAAAAAGTGTCAACACACAAAATTGTGCCAACCGAATTGCAGCCTATCTCTAACACTCGCACCCCCCCGCACCTCTCTTCCTCTTCCTGCCCACCCTCTCTTCCACCTCCCTTCTCTCGCCCCCAATCGCTGTAGAACCCCATCCGCCCTCCGCCTGCCCCTTCCCCCTGTTCCCTTCTCTCTCCCGCCATGCCCGCTTCCCCGTGCACCATGTCAGCCCCACCAAAGGCCCCGCCTCTATTCGCCGCTGTGCCCCCCTTCTGGCCCTGCCTTCTGCTCCCTCCCTAGCCTCTTGTGCTGCTGTCGCCTCTTGTGCTGCTGTCGCCTCTTGTGCTGCTGTCGCCTCTTGTGCTGCTGTCGCCTCTTGTGCTGCTGTTGCCTGTGTGTCAGAGCGTCGGGTGCAGCAGTCGATGCCGCTGCCCCCGCTGCTGCCACTGCTCCTCCCGCTGCGTCCTCTTCTCTCCTCACCAGCATCCCCCTCTTCTCCCTCCCCACAAGCCAACCCTCCTGTCTGCTCCACCATCTCTCCTCCTCTTCCCAGCGCTCCCCTCTTCTTCCCCACGACCCCTTTTTCCTCTACCTCCTCCCTCCCACGTTTACCCTTTGTCTCCACCTCTACTGTCAACTCCCCCCCTCTGCGCCCCTCCCCCTCCCCCCCACCCCCCCACCTGTGCGCGAGGATGCATGCGATCACCTCCACTGTCTTCCCCAGCCCCATCTCCTCCGCCAGAATGCCGCCCCTCACTGCCCCCGCCACCTCACCCACCCACCCGCACGCACCACCACTCACCGAACCTCGAGTTACCGAACCTGCGCTGACCGAACCTGGGCTTACCGAACCTGGGCTTACCGAACCAGGAATCACCGAACCTGAACTTGCTGAGTCTACGCTCGCCAAGACAGGACTCATCAACCGCAGAGACACCGAACCTGGACTCGTCTGCCCTGGACCCACCGAACCCGCAGTCACCGAACCTGCACTTGCCAAACCTGGACTCACACAGCCTGCATTCACCGAACCTGGACTGATCGACCCTGGACTTCCTGACTCTGCATTCACTGAACCTGGACCCACAGAGGAGTCGGTTTGCTGCATCTCCCCGTCGCACCTCCCCCTCTTGTTCTCTCCTGCCTCTTGATGCTGCGGCTGCCTCTTTGTAGGTGTCTTGAAAATCGACTCCCTTGCCCCTCCACACTGTGGCTGCCCCACAAGGCTGCCCTGTCTGGTGGACCCGGTGGAGGGAGGCAGGCGTGCGAATGTGCCTCTGGCAGGGAAAGGAGACAGGAAAGAAGGGTAGAGATGGGGCATGGCATTAGGAAGGGGGTGAGGATGGGGGTGAGGATGGGGGGTTGAGGAAGGGGGTGAGGATGGGGATGAGGATGGGGATAAGGAAGGGGGTGAGGATGGGGATGAGGATGGGGATAAGGAAGGGGGTGAGGATGGGGATGAGGATGGGGATGAGGATGGGGATGAGGATGGGGACGGATAGCGATGGTGCAACAGGCAGGGCAACGGAAGAGCATGCAGAGGGAATGGCGTATGCTGACTGACATACTGCCTAACAGCTGGCTGTGGGCGAGCTGAAAGCGGCCAAGCCCGGGGGCAAGGGGGCAGGGGCAAATGCCTAACATTTAACTCAGACGCACAGGAAAGGGTTGTAGAGAAGAGGGGCGGCAGATTCACTGCTGCTGGTTTGCGTCACTTGTGCAAAGGTGCCATCAGTGCTCTCGCCACTGATTGCAGTTATCTGCCGCCACAAGGGATGCTGCTGCTCCTCCGCCTTCCACCACCCAGCATGCTGCCCCAACTGCATTGAATCCCGCTCCCCAGCGTCCCTCTGACCCACTCTCCCGTTGTCCCCACACCCCCGCTGCGCACCCCTCTCCCGCTGCACCATCCACGCCACGGCTCTGCTCTGGTACGGCCTCAGCGCAGGGAGCAGACCGGGAGGAGACATGGCAAGCGGTGGCAGGTGCCTGGAAGAAAAGGGCAGGATTCAGAGCAGTGACTCTGTGACCGTGGGGACACCCGACGGCATGAAAACGTCACACACCAGAAATGCCATCACCCACCTGCTGGGCCACACTGCTCCGTACATGTGAGCGAGATCAAAGCAGGTGCCCGTGCGCATGGTGCCATCACAGCCAGCAGCAGCAGCAGGAGCAGGGGCAGCAGCATGAGCGCAAGCATTGCTGTGTTGCTCCGCCTGCTCGCTGCCGCCATCCATCGCCGTGCCCATGCTGCTTCCCTCGCCCACCTTCCCCTTCCTCGTCTCCCGCTCGCCCTTCTCCTTATTTTCCTCCTCTGCACTTGTGTCAACAGCCACGTCAGCAGTACTACCAACTGCCACCACATCATCGGCATCAGGTGCATGCTGGCAGGCGCAAGGTGGGGTCAGAACGCTGGCAGCAGCGACCATGCTCCCACCAGCATCCTCAAGCCCATGGCCGTGCTCATGTCTAGAGCCATGATGCGCATGTGGATGTACAGGTGGATGGTGCATGGGGGGATGTGGCATGGCATGGGGCGCATGGGGAGCATGACGAGGGGGATGCGGCATGGCATGGGGGGCCAGGCAGCCCATGAGGGCGCGCATGTGAGGCGCATGAGAGGGGCGCCGCACAGCGTTGAGGATGGGGGAGAGCAGAGGAGAGCATATGTGGTGCGGTGGCACTGTGGGAAGGAGGCTGCTGGGGATGCCCAGCAGCAGCTGGACGGAGCCGGGTGGGGAAGACTCAGGAGGGCATGGTTGCGTCACATTCGGCATACGGCTGTCAGCCGCCGCTGCTGGTGGCGTGTTCTCCTGTGCCCGGGGTGCTGCTGTGTGTGCTGCAGTGAAGCGAGGTGTGACTGTAACGAGGCCCCTCTCTGCGAGTTGCAGCAGCGCCTGCACGGCACGTGGGTGCCGCAACTCCCTGATGTCACCCGCCCTCACCCACGCCACTATCTCCGCCCCCTCCCCCCCCTCCTCTCCTTCCCCCTCTTCCGCTCCTCCTGCTCCTCCCTCGCTCTCCTCACACCCCTCCCCTTCCCTCGCTTTTTCCGTCTCGCCATCCCTCCCCCTTGCCCCCCCCTTCCACCGCACCACGTGCACCACCACGTCGTCCGCACCCACAGCTGGCAGCTGCCGGTGCCGTCCAAACGACGGCGAGCATAACTGCCCTGCCCCCTCGCTCTCCCGCACGCTCAGGCACACGCGCTCCCTCGCCCGCCCCTCACCCACGCCACCCTCTTCCGCGCGCTCTTCCCCATGCCGCCCTATCAGCGCACGCTGCACGGCGCCATGGCCCCACGGATCAGCGCTATCGCGTGTGGTGCTAAGGGGTGTGGAGCTGAAGGGTGTGGCACTGTCAGGTGTTTCGCCAGGTGTGGCACCGTCAGGTGTTTTGCAAGCGGCAGCGACAGAGGCAGCCGCCGTGGCAGCAGTGGCGGCAGCACAGCCAGTGCAGCGTTGCTGTGTGGGCACGTGGCGAGAGGCAACCGACGGATGAGACAACGATGGAAATGGGCCTAGTATTGCAACGTCAGCACCTTCAGGGTCTCCTACCGTGGCCCATATTATCCGCCAGCTGTCTGCTTTGCTGGTTAGCTGGCAATTGCCTCCGTCGCCGTCGAGTCTGCACCAGCTGCCTTCAGCTCGCGGAACGACGGGCGAGGGTGGGGCAACGACAGGTGGAGGGGACACGTGATCCGCTGCCAAATCTAACGGCTCAGATTCGAGGAGCCCATCAGATGGCGTACAGGTTGCCTGCGCTCTGCTACGCGATGGGTTGACCTGCTTTCGACGGGCCATGGTTGGCGCTGACCAAATCAACGACGGTTTCGTCAACGAGACGACACGAGAGCTAACACGCGGTCGAAGGGACAGGGCAAGAAACCACCAAAACACCACAGCAACGCTTGCTCTTATCGAATGATAAGGGCGTGTCCAGCGCGTTCATTTTGTCCCAACACGAATTTTTGACGTTTTTTTAACACGCCGAAATATTGATTCGCCAAGTGTGAATGTGTTGAGGTACACCTACAGTATCAACAGCAAAACGCTGGGACACGAGCGGACACGAGCCCCACCCGTGGCTCGACAAATGAGCGGGTGCGCAGCGCGCACATAACAGAGTGACACGCGAAAATTGCAGGGTAACCAAAATTCGCGCATGCAATTCCAATTCTTCTTCCGCTTTTTTCGCCTTGAGTCGCAAGCGTCACGAAATCCTGGCGAAGTTAAGCGTTCTATAATTCGCCAGCCAGGATTTGGACGTTTCTACCGTGTACATAATTTGCGCACGATTTTCATTCAGTTCAGAAACGTGTGGCCCACGTCTGCGGGCATGTTTGGAGGGTGTCCGAATGGACACGAAATTTCGGGTTACCAGTTCAGAATTTTGTACCTGATATGCAATGTGAATAGTAAACGAACGGGCTGGACATGCCCTAATCCTACTTTACAATGGAATAAATATCCCATTGTGAAAATGTGTTTACTTAGACTCTTCGTTAACGGTGATAAATGTCGAACCGAATGGTTCGCGTACCTCTCCAGACCTACTCCGAACCGAAACCGTACCTCGCTTTTTTTAGGCTCGGAGGTTACGGCGTGGAACTGAAAGCTCAAAACTCGTTGGAACGCCTTCTCTTCGAACCCTCGCCAAACCCCACTGTACCACGCTCTTATCTGACTACAGCACCCCAGACCGTTTCCAACCTTCTGGCAAGCTCGAACTTTGTTTCCGAGCAAGGCGGTTTTGACCTCAAGCTCAAAGAGCATACCATTTTCAGCGTGAGATGCGGCGGACGGCTCATCTCAAGCCCAGCGAGGCCCTACCGCGTCTTGTGACGTGCTTCTAACCAGCGCGAGAACCGGCGAGGGCGTATCGGACGGCGTACTCATCCCCTCAACGGGCAGACGTCACGTCAATTCGTTACTGTGATAGGCTAACAGCCATTCTGAACGCGAGGGAGAGAACAACCTGACATAGCGTTCCCTCCGTCGGCCACGGAGCACCACTTTTCTCGTAAAGCTCCAATCTCCCAATCGCGTTCCGTCGAATGGCTTCTACGGAGTGTCAGCTGGTTGCCGACCCAAAAGCTGGCAGGAACGTGCTCTTACGGAATCATTTAATGACGATGCAGGAAGCACCTCCGCGAATATCGCTGGGAGAACAGCTAGGAACTCCGCAAAGCGGGAATGCCGGCGAAGGGAAAAAAGCGAAAGCCTCGTGTCGCAAATTCCGATGCTCCTGCTCTCCCATGCTGCTATAAGGCAGCTCTCACCTCGGCCTACCAGTCATTCGTTCCTTCCACCGAAGACCCACCGTCGCTTCAATCCTCCCCAATCTTTGTCATCAACCTTGCATCTGCTCCATCTCGAGTAGCATCCCACTATCGGGCGCAGACCTATTCACTCCGCAATCCTCGCGGTAATCTCTGCGACTCGTGCAATTCTCGCGGTAATCTCTGCGACTCGTGCAATCATCGCGGTAATCTCTGCGACTCGTGCAATTCTCGCGGTAATCTCTGCGACTCGTGCAATCCTCGCGGTAATCTCTGCGACTCGTGCAATCCTCGCGGTAATCTCTGCGACTCGTGCAATCCTCGCGGTAATCTCTGCGACTCGTGCAATCCTCGCGATCGGCCCACAGTGTTTCCGAGGATCGCGTCAACCCCGTCAGTGCTTCTCGTGCAAGCGGCTCCGTCCAGCCATGGCGCGTACCATGTCACGGTCGGCGTCGCGCTCTCCTTCCCTCGACTTGAGACGACTCGCCCTCGTCATCGCCGGTAAGCACCCTCTTCCGGTCGCTACCCCTTCACCTACTCACTCTTCCCTTTCGGTCCACGAAGCCATGGCGCCTGTCTCAACTTGAAGACATGATGCAAGCACTGCGAGCTCAAGTTTGCCAGCACAATGCATGGTGCACGCCGCACTCTTCTCCCCGCTTCCTTCCCCTCTCAGCCCTCTCCCCCTCTCAGCCCTCTCCCCCTCTCACTCCTCCCCCTCTCACTCCTCTCCCCCTCTCACTCCTCTCCCCCTCTCACTCCTCTCCCCCTCTCACTCCTCTCCCCCTCTCACTCCTCTCCCCCTCACTCCTCTCCCCTCTCACTCCCCTCCCCCTCTCACTCCTCTCCCCCTCTCACTCCTCTCCCCCTCTCACTCCCCTCCCCCTCTCACTCCTCTCCCCCTCTCACTCCTCTCCCCCTCTCACTCCCCTCCCCCTCTCACTCCCCTCCCCCTCTCACTCCTCTCCCCCTCTCACTCCTCTCCCCCTCTCACTCCTCTCCCCCTCTCACTCCTCTCCCCCTCTCACTCCTCTCCCCCTCTCACTCCTCTCCCCCTCTCACTCCTCTCCCCCTCTCACTCCTCTCCCCCTCTCACTCCCCTCCCCCTCTCACTCCCCTCCCCCTCTCACTCCTCTCCCCCTCTCACTCCCCTCCCCCTCTCACTCCTCTCCCCCTCTCACTCCCCTCCCCCTCTCACTCCCCTCCCCTCTCACTCCTCTCCCCCTCTCACTCCTCTCCGTGTGAAGCCTCCGCCGTTCCAAGCCACAAACAACGCACCTTTCCCAGGCTAATCCGCCCATGCCTTGCGACATCCCTCTCCTTGCCTTTGCTTTGCCTTCTAAATCCCTTCTCCCTGCCTTCTCCTCCCTTTGCTTTCTTGCTGCAGCGGTGCTCTCTCTCTCCTTGTGTGTCTCCCTCTGCTCCGCCGCGTCCGCCGGGCAACGCCTGCTGCAGGAGGGGCGCGGTGGCACGACGACTGTAACGACCACCACCACCACGAGCACCAGCGTCAGCAACAGCACCACGTATGGCGCTGATGGCACCGTTATAAGCACCGGCTCCACCTCCGCCACCAGCAGCGTCGGAGGCACCAGCAGCGGGGGGAGCACCAGCAGCGGGGGGGTCAGCACTGGCACCGGAGGGAGCAGCACGGGGGGGAGCAGCACTGGGGGGAGCAGCACTGGGGGGAGCAGCACTGGGGGGAGCAGCACTGGCGGGAGCAGCACTGGGGGGAGCAGCAGCACTGGGGGGAGCACTGGCAGCGCGGGAGGGACGAGCAGCGGAGGGAGCAGTGCCGTTGTCAACTACAATGCTCCCATCAGATGTAAGAGCATGCATGGGCACATGCACATGCACAGACATGCACATGCACATCCACACAGACACGCGGATATGGACAGGCAAATGCACATGCACAGGCACATCCATCGTGGCCTGCCTTCTGCCTTCTTCCTTCCATTGCTTCTTCCATAGTTGCTGCTACCAGATTTGCTTCTGCCGTCAAGACATGCTCAATCCTTCCCTTGCTGCTCAATCCTTCCCTTGCTGCTCAATCCTTCCCTCGCTGCTCAATCCTTCCCTCGCTGCTCAATCCTTCCCTTGCTGCTCAATCTTTTCATCTGCAGACCGAGCTGCCTCCCGGCTGAACCCGAATGGCGATACGACCGCCAAGTTCAATGTTGATGTGAACGTGTGAGTGCCCACTCCAGTTACACTCTATGTTGACGTCAACTGGATGCCCATTTCTGACGCACATGTGGAGCCACATTTCATTTCCTATACAGAACAGGTCTCTTGTTGTAATAACTTCCCCATTTCCTTGGGAGACAAACGTGTGGAGGCTAATCCGTGAGCATATCCTCGTTCTGCCACAACCTGTCTCCATCCCCGTGTCTGGCCCCTCCCTCCCATCCCCCAGCACATCGTCCAAGCAGAACGCCCTCTTCTTCTTCTACGTCATGGGCGTGCCGCCCACTCCCACGCCAACCTTCTCCAACCCCGCCTTCTACACCACGGCGGGCCAGCTCGTGCTTGAGTTCACCTGCGCTCCCACAGCCACCAAGACGGCTGGCACCTTCTTCTGCGGGATGTCCGGGGAGGGTAACCTCACTGCGCCTTACAAGCCGATCAACAAGGCCAAGAAGCTGGTAGATTCTGGGTTGTTCACGAATCCCGGAGGGTTCTATGCGGCGATTAAAGTGAATGGCATGGAGCTGCGCGGGGATATCACCTCGTCCGTTGCTAACGTGTGATTGGCTGGCCGATGCTGGCCAGTGGCCACCGTGTGCATTAACGTTGGGGCATTAGCTACCTGGTTAGGGCTTGTAATGAAGCTCCTCTGTTCTGTTTCTAGTCAGTGTGATTCTGTTGTGTGTGTTTGGGGACATGTTAGCTACCATCAATTGACCTCGGTTAAAGGAATCTCGTTTGGTTGTGGTGTAGTCTGTCAAATCGTGAGATATGATCGTAATCGTTGCAACATGAATGGTGTAGGAGGATCTTCCAACAAAAATATGTAGTAATCTTTCGTAGAAATCTCCATGTGCAACCCCTACTAATCTTGTGACGAGGGTCGGGTTGCGCAGTAGCGAAAACTACCCACGTCAGCACGGCAGAACCAGTAACAATTCGCTTGAGCAGCCAGGTGTGCCGAACTGTACAGTTCGCTTCTGAATTGCATTCTCAGGGGTACGCTCAGGAGCCCACAAGAACTCTCTCTGCGCTTCGCTCCCAACATGTGCCCCAAATGAGCTGAACTGTTTCTGAAGGCACCTGCGGGTGACAAACCTGTCCAGTAAAGTACTGTACTGTACACCTGCCTGGCTGAAGGGAACCTGGTTCCCTCCCATGTTCCCATTCCATTCAAGCCTGCGTGGAAACTGTAGAGGGACCTGCTGGAGTGCGGTTCGGTGGTGTCATGACGCGACTCGAAATTCGCTCAACCCCGCCAGAAATGAACTGAATCTGCAGCATTCACACAACCTGCCCAAACCACGGCGGTGCTTCAAATAGAGGAGCCACTCGAATACCTAGCAAGCAGAACACACAGCAGCTAGTAGACACGATAATTTCGTACACGAGTTAGAACACTCCTCCACCATACAGCAGACATTTCATACTGCTACGATATAGCTTCTTCGGAAAATCATGGCGCGGCTTTTGCTCCTAGCGTCGCTCGCAGTCCTCCTAGTGTCCGCCGCAGCAGAAACGGTCACCACAGGCCCCAGCAACCCGTCAGTTTCCCTCGACAAAGCCCTCGGCTCAAACGGCGTGGCGACGGATGTCCCTAGCAGCATCGAGAAGGCGGCGGCGGCGGGCAACCTGGACAAGTTCGAGGGCACGACCGTTGTGAGCCCGGCGACGGACAGCATGCTGATGGTGGACGTGAAGAAGGCCGGGTGGAACTCGATGAAGTGCCACAAGGACCTCGGCGCGCCCGGGCAAGGCGCGTGTACGCCCGCCAACTGCAGCAAGGGCGGCATCCCCGCCAAGTGGAAGACGTCGAATCTGCTGAAGAACAAGCTCGGTATTGAGGTGTACGTGAAGGGGAATCCGCTCACGCTCAAGAAGGCGTCCCCGCAGACGTGCTGCAACACGTGCGCGTCGTTCAAGAGCTGCACGTACTGGCAGTACATCCCCGATATAACCATCGACGGGAAGAAGTCGGATGGCGCGTGCTACCTGGTACACGACGACATTGATTACACGTGCGGCGAGCTCACCGCGCAGTACGCGACGGAGACGAAGCCCGTGCATCTGCAGGTGCGCACCGGCGGCGAGTGCAACCCGCGCGCCAACGTCGTCAATGACCCGCATCTCGTGGGCGCGTTTGGCACCCACTTCGACTTCAACGGCCGCCCCGACAAGGCGTTCTGCCTTCTCACCGACAAGGACCTCCATGTGAACATGCTCCTCCGCGGGTACTACTCCGACGACACCGAGAATGCCGCGCTGGTGGTGGACGGCAAGGCCGTGCACACGTGGATCAAGGAGCTCGGCCTCGTGTAGTTCGCCAAGGGCGTGGATCACAAGCTGCGCCTCGCTGCCCGCGGCGGCAAGCAGCAGGAGCGCGGCGACGGATTCATGAAGACGATCGAGATCGATGGCGAGGAGATCCCGAGAATGCGCGTCGGCGACGAGGTGACATCCGAGGGAGGCTTGACCCTGCGCTTCGCTGCACTCGAGAAGGAGGGGCCGTATGACATGGACTACTACACGCTCAGCATCGAGGGGCTGGTCGCCCTCGACCTGAGGCTGCGCGTGGCGAACCCGAAGCTGCAGACGCCCAACGACGCGGAGGCGCACATCAACGTGGGCATTGTCGAGCTGGAGCACACCGACGACGTGCACGGCGTGCTCGGCCAAACCTACCGCCCCGACCACGCGGCGCGCGCCGCCGACTTCCAGCGGCTGATCGCGAACCTGCACCGTCCGATCTCGTCGGACAGCGAGGAGGGCGTTGGGTTCCTGGACGGCACTCCCCGGTCGTACGAGTCGAGCTCCGTGCTGGCCGTGGACTGCGCGCACACTGAGTACCGCCGCGCCAAGCAGCTGAGCCCCGTGGAGCAGTTCCCCATGGAGCCGCCCCTCAACTAGACGCGCTCTTGATTGTGGGCCGTTGTCTGGAGGGATGAAAGCATGCAGAGCAGATTCGTGTGTTGATTGGTGGGATGAATTGGTGGGGTGATATGTTCACGCGAGAAGCGTGCATCTGTATTGTATACTGGCCTGGAGTCTGGCCAAATTCTTTTGTTGTAGCTGAGCTACAATTCTTGCTAGTATACTAACGTTTCTCATTCTTATCCCTTGTCATAAGTGAGCTTTGCAGAGAGCGGCCACTCGTATTCTGACATGTGGCAAGTTGTCCTGGCAGGAGAACGTGGGGAGGCAGAAGAGGACAAGAACGTTGGGGGGCAGGGGAAAATTGCATATTGAGAGCGTGTTCCTAAGAGCCTCATATCAGACTCGCCCTCATCAAACTCGCACAACGTTCGTCCGAGTGACGAGAACTCCAAACGTTTAACATTTCTAAACCGCATTGAACCACTTCGGGCGAGTATGATAAGAGGCACTCTGATAAGAGGCTCGTAGGAACCACTCTTGAGTCCGAGGTGGTGAAGGTGAGGTGGGAGTGAGGGAGGCTTCTGAGTGGACCATGAGGTAGAGACACCATGCAAGCACTTGGATGGCTTGTGAGAAGCACTTGGATGGCTTGTGAGAAGCACTTGGATGGCTTGTGAGAAGCACTTGGATGGCTTGTGAGAAGCACTTGGATGGCTTGTGAGAAGCACTTGGATGGCTTGTGAGAAGCACTTGGATGGCTTGTGAGAAGCACTTGGATGGCTTGTGAGAAGCACTTGGATGGCTTGTGAGAAGCACTTGGATGGCTTGTGAGAAGCACTTGGATGGCTTGTGAGAAGCACTTGGATGGCTTGTGAGAAGCACTTGGATGGCTTGTGAGAAGCACTTGGATGGCTTGTGAGAAGCACTTGGATGGCTTGTGAGTCGACTCAAGAGTAACCTCGGAGCCACAGTTGCAGAGGCAGGTCGCGCTGTCATGGACCAACTCCGATGGGGTAAGACAAATTGGCAGGGCTACTTACCCAATGGAATCTGCGCTGTGGCACATGGGGTTGTGGATCGACACTGGCGGATGGAGGTGGCGCTGGAGATGTGTGATGGAGGAGGGTGGGGCGGCAGGCGGACAGCAGTGGATGGGGCGAGCCATGGATGGGATGTTGGCATGTCTCGGTCAGAACACGGATGGGAGGGGGTGCTGGTGCCGACAGCAGGGTGAGCGATGGCGGCAGGGGGAGGCGCGGGGTGAGGAACCTTCGGAGACGGGTCAAGGAGGAGGGTGTGCTGGCAGGTGAATGGCAGCGGATGGGGTGGGCGGATGGGTGAGTGGACGGGGGGAGGGAGTGGTGCTGAGAGGGTGGAGGGCGATGGAGGCAGGGAGTTGTGGTGCGAGGTAGGGCTGGAGGGACTCTGGGACCTGAGGAGGCAGACAGGGGGGAGGGAGAGGAGAGGGGGAGAGGATAGGGGGAAGGGGAGAGGACGAAGTGGAAGGAGAGGACAGGGGGAAAGGGAAAGGACAGGGGGAAAGGGACAGGACAGGGGGAAAGGGAGAGGACAGGGGGAAGGGGAGAGGACAGGGGAAAAGGGAGAGGACAGGGGGAAAGGGAGAGGACAAGGGGAAAGGGAGAGGACAGGGGGAAAGGAAGAGGACAGGGGGAAAGGGAGAGGACAAGGGGAAAGGGAGAGGACAGGGGGAAAGGGAGAGGACAGGGGGAAGGGGGAGGACAGGGGGAAAGGGAGAGGACTGGGGGAAAGGGAGAGGACAGGGGGAAAGGGAGAGGACAGGGGGAAAGGGAGAGGACAGGGGGAAAGGGAGAGGACAGGGGGAAAGGGAGAGGACAGGGGGAAAAGGGAGAGGACAGGGGGAAAGGGACAGGACAGGGGGAAGGGAGAGGACAGGGGGAAGGGGAGAGGACAGGGGAAAAGGGAGAGGACAGGGGGAAAGGGAGAGGACAGGGGGAAAGGGAGAGGACAGGGGGAAAGGGAGAGGACAAGGGGAAAGGGAGAGGACAGGGGGAAAAGGGAGAGGACAGGGGAAATGGGAGAGGACAGGGGGAAAGGGAAAGGACAGGGGGAAAGGGAAAGGACAGGGGGAAAGGGACAGGACAGGGGGAAAGGGAGAGGACAGGGGGAAGGGGAGAGGGCAGGGGAAAAGGGAGAGGACAGGGGGAAAGGGAGAGGACAAGGGGAAAGGGAGAGGACAGGGGGAAAGGAAGAGGACAGGGGGAAAGGGAGAGGACAAGGGGAAAGGGAGAGGACAGGGGGAAAGGGAGAGGACAGGGGGAAGGGGAGGACAGGGGGAAAGGGACAGGACAGGGGGAAAGGGACAGGACAGGGGGAAAGGGAGAGGACAGGGGGAAAGGGAGAGGACAGGGGGAAAGGGAGAGGACAGGGGGAAAGGGAGAGGACAGGGGGAAAAGGGAGAGGACAGGGGAAATGGGAGAGGACAGGGGGAAAGGGAAAGGACAGGGGGAAAGGGAAAGGACAGGGGGAAAGGGACAGGACAGGGGGAAAGGGAGAGGACAGGGGGAAGGGGAGAGGACAGGGGAAAAGGGAGAGGACAGGGGGAAAGGGAGAGGACAAGGGGAAAGGGAGAGGACAGGGGGAAAGGAAGAGGACAGGGGGAAAGGGAGAGGACAAGGGGAAAGGGAGAGGACAGGGGGAAAGGGAGAGGACAGGGGGAAGGGGGAGGACAGGGGGAAAGGGAGAGGACTGGGGGAAAGAGAGGACAGGGGGAAAGGGAGAGAGGACAGGGGGAAAGGGAGAGGACAGGGGGAAAGGGAGAGGACAGGGGGAAAAGGGAGAGGACAGGGGAAATGGGAGAGGACAGGGGGAAAGGGAGAGGACAGGGGGAAAAGGGAGAGGACAGGGGGAAAAGGGAGAGGACAGGGGAAATGGGAGAGGACAGGGGGAAAGGGAGAGGACAGGGGGAAAAGGGAGAGGACAGGGGAATTGGGGGAGGAAAGGGGAAAGGGGAGAGGGGAGAGGACAGAGGAAAGGGGGCAAGGGAGGGAGATTTAGAGGTTGCAGCATAGACTGGCATCAATAAGCATTCCAAGAACGAAGGCGCCTGTTTTCTAGGAAGCCATAATGCAGAGGGGCAAATAACAACCTGTCCTGTCCCTTTCCCCCTGTGCTGCAGAGAAGGTTCCAAACGGTGTCTGACCCACCCGCCATCCCGCTTCCCCTGCCATCTCTCCCTGCTGCCTCTTCATTTTCCACGGGGTCCCAAACCCCATTCTCCCCGAGCCCCCCACATCCCTTGGCTCATCCGTCGCTGCTTCCCCATGCCGCCTCAACCTGACTCCCCGTGCCTGCCAGTGCCACCCACAGGCTTGGCTTGCCCGCTCGCTGCTTGGGGCGTGCCACTTGTAACAAAAGGACGAGAGATAGCAGTGAGACGAAGAGATAGCAGTGAGACGAGGAGATAGCAGTGAGATGAGGAGAAAGCAGTGAGACGAGGAGATAGCAGTGAGACGAGGATATAGCAGTGAGACAAGGAGATAGCAGTGAGACAACCATCAACCACAGCCTCCCATCAACCACAGCCTCACAATTTCCTAAGGGCGCGGTGCGTAGCAAAGTTGAGATATTGGTCGAACATCACATTCGAATGCCGCGCGGCTTGACAATAATTGCCCCTGGAAAACTAAACGGAATGTTTTGGCGAGGCGACCAAATTAGTTACCCGCTAAGAAGTCGAACAGGCCTTGCGGAACTAATGCAAAGCACTGATGCCCTAAGAATGCTTTTGAGTAAACTCAAAAGAAGAGCTTAAAAGAGGAACGAAAACAAATCAGCACCTGTGAGAGGGTAGCAGACAGCACGTGGCAATGTGCATTCGAAGTGGCCGAAAGGGAGACGTAGTGATCGGCACATCCTCAGGATGAGTCTGCGTGTGGGAAGAGAGGCGACGAGAGGCGAAGAGAGGGGTGGGGATATATGGAAGGAGTGGAAGGTGGGGTGGTTGAGCAATTAGGAAGGCAATTGGGGCCTATGGAGCAGCAGGGGAGACGAGAGAAAAAGGCGATATTCTTTTAGCTTGCAATGGCCTTGATTGGCTGACTTAAGGCTGTGGTGCTCAAACTCTTTATTAGCTTGCAACTCAAACCCTCAAGCGCACCTCAAGCAGCAGCAACCTCGACCCAAACCCAAACTAAAGCTCAAGCCAACCCAGACTCAAACCCACGAATGCACCTCAAGCAGCAGCAGCAGGGCGCGCGTGTCGCCGCCCCACAGGCGAATCAGATTGACTGCGGGGCCCACACGCAGCGAGCAGTGGGAGGCAAACACAACGCACGGGCCGTGGAGAAGTTTCCTGGAAGGGAGAGACAGTCTCCCCGTTGACAGGATGGGGGAGAGGGGGTTTATGAGGAGACGCAGGAGGAAGAAAAGGAGGAAGAAAAGGAGGAAGAAAAGGAGGAAGAAAAGGAGGAAGAAAAGGAGGAAGAAAAGGAGAAAGAAAGCGAAAGCAATGCACGCTGGCAGCAGCGCAGGAGGTCAACGTTCACCACGTGTTGAAGTGGACAGAATACACAAGAGGGAGGATCAGAAGAGGGCGGCCACGTGAATGGCAGGGCAAGGAAGGAGAGGAGAAGCAGCACTGACCAGAGGTCCGTGCCCCAGGGACACCCGTGGGGCATGTTGGGCACTGCCTTGCCCGGCGCCTTCATGCCCGCCATGCCATGCAGCATGCCCGATGACCATGATGCCGGGACGAACGCCACGGCTCCAGGCAGCTCCACCATGCGCACACCCATGCTGACGTCAGCACGTGCGTCAGCAGGGGAGGGAATGGAGGTAGTGTGGGGGGTGGAGGAGGCGGGGTGGGAGAGGAGCGCGCTGCTGATGGCGTGGATGGGCTGGCCTGCGAAGAGCTGCAGGAGGGATGGAGAGAGAGGGAAGAGGGGAGAAGAAGACTGATTGAGGTTCTGAGATACATTCGCACAGCTATGTGGCACGGATGGGCTGGCCCGAGAACAGCTACGGTAGTGGTGGACAGAGAGGGAGGGGGCAAAGTGGAGGGGGGCATGGGGAGGGGGGGGAGAAGGGGGCACCCAGCAGCCGAAACAATCCGCAACACGAACAAGGCCCGAAATGGGAAGCGCTGTTGCAACCTGATGCAACTAGACCCATCCCACTAACTTTGCATGTGGACCCCCTTCCCCCAACCCACCCCCCCTCCCAAACACACACCTTGTGGTGCACGCAGGGGTGCATCCACTCGGGCAGAATGCAGGCGAGCGAGAGCGCCTGCTTGGCCACCGGGGAGAGATACACCACTGGCACTCGCACTTGGGTTACTGCTGCTGCTGCTGCTGCTGGTACTGCTGATGCTGATGGTGGTGAGGCTGGCACGGCAGGTGGCGGGGAGCAGGAGGGGGGGAGGAGGGCGTGCATGAGGTCCAAGGAGGGGCCCAGAGGGGAGCACGGGACCACCACTCGCCCTCCCTCCGCCACCCGCCTTGCAATCAGATCCACTATCCCTTCGATACTGTCACACGCTGCCCTGCCACACGCTGCCCTGCCACACGCTGCACCACCTCCCCCATAGTCACACCTCCCTGCTTTCCCAAATCCCCCATCTTTCCTTTCCTTCGCCCATCTGTCAGCAGAGCTGAGTGACGTGGACCCACACAGTGCTGCCACGTGGCAAGTGCCTATTGGCTCGAGCTGCGGCGGAGCGGCGAGAGAGCGATAGGGCAGGGGAGGGAAGACAAGGGCGAGGTCGCACTGGTGTGGAGGGCGAGACGAGGAAGGGGAGGAGGTGAGACAAGTGTGCACGTGGGAGGCGTGGCAGGTGTGCGTGGGCGAGTGGGACGAGGTGGGGGAGTGGAGGAGCGACCAGGAGGCGCAGCCAAGAGTGCCACCTGAGGCAGACGCAGTGGCAGTGACGCCCGTGCCGAGGTCAACCCCCTCGCCGAACCTCACGCCTCGGACGCAGGCCAGGGACGCCAGCAACTCGCGCTCGCTGGTAGAAACGGAGGAGGGATGAAGGGAGGGTGGGGATAAGGGGGGAGGAGGGATGAAGGGAGGGTGGGGATAAGGGGGGAGGAGGGATGGAGGGGGAGAGAGAGGGGTGTGAGGACCAGATCGAAATAAAAATCAGGAAATGCGGACTGAATGTCACGGGCAAGTGATAACTGATACGTAGTGGTTGGATGTGCTGGTGGTGAGTGCTGGTCAGTGGTTGTGGCTGCAACATTGCCACCCAGCATAGAGGACACACCTGACTTTTCCGCAACACGAAAACTGTGACCACCTCAACACACTTAGCCCAACAAGGCTCACCTGAGGGAAGCATGGGACGCAAAATCACCAGGCGCCTTGTCTTGCATGGTAGGGTCAGCAGCAACCAAGCCCTTCTCTCCGATCAGCGCTGCCCTCTCCTTCACGAGCAGCCTGCCGATGCGCAGAGCGGCCTCGGTGCACAGCACCTGATGGGCGATGGGGCGAGGCGAGGAGAGCACACAGTAGTTGAACGAGAGGATGCACTGCATGCAAGCCACAGTCGAGTGTTTGCGCACCCCTCGCTCGCCCAGGCCAGCCTAGTCCCACCTTAGGGGGAGGTCGGTGGCTGTAAAAGCACACCTTAGGGGGAGGTAGATCACACCTTAAGGGGAGGTAGATCACAGCTTAGGGGGAGGTAGATCACACCTTAAGGGGAGGTAGATCACAGCTTAGGGGGAGGTAGATCACACCTTAGGGGGAGGTCGGTGGCTGTGAAAGCACACCTTGGGCGGAGGTCGGTGGGCGTAGTGCTGTCGGTGGTGGCGCAGCAGCAGAGGCAGGCCGAGAAGGCCCTCCGGACTCGACACAAGGATGGCATCCACGTCAGACGCTGCTGACGTGGCAGTGAGGGCGAATGGCAGCGCGAGAGCAGGATGTGGGGTTGGCATGGGGGAGGGGAGGGGGAAGGAGAGGCGCAGACAAGGGCAGGAACAGGAGGAGGCGCGGTCATGGTCATGACCATCATTGGGGCTGGGGGAGAAAGGTGCGCCGCTGCCCCCCATGCTCGCACGCACTCTCTGCCGCTTCTCGCCCCTCTCCACGCCGTCATCGCCAGCGTGACTCCTCCTCTCGCCCACGGCCCTCGCATGCACCCCACTGCCGTCTGCATTGCCGGCTGCATTGCCGGCTGCATTGCCGGCTGCATTGCCGGCTGCATTGCCGGCTGCATTGCCGGCCTCATTGCTGCTTGGCCCTCTGATCGAACCACCAAGTTCTGACTTTGCTCGTTGGCCCGTCCCTCCCACCTCTGTATCCCCAGCACTGCCATGTTCTCTCCTCTTCCCCTCTGCTCCCTCGCCCCCCTCTCCGCTTCCCTCCTCACCTTCCCTGAGATCTCCTCCTCCCTCCTGCCTCAACTCTAGACCGGACGACAAGCACATGCCCAACCTCTGCCTCTTCCGAACCTCGCGCCTGCGCGCCAGACCTGATCCCGAGGCTCGGGAACCATGCTGATGTAGCAGCGCCAGGACCCGGGGAAGGGCTGCGACTGAGGCTGTTGTGCTGGGCAGATCGCGAGGTGTGGTCGTAGGATGTGTGGTTCGGTCCGAACCTGTTGGCTCGGACGGATCCAGAGCAGCGGCACGGGGGTTAAATGTTGCGCCAGGGGGTGCAGGTTCGGCGGCAGCAGCGGAAGAGGGCGCGGCAGCGAGAGAATCAGCAGCGCGAGACGGCGAGGGGTGGGAGGGGCGAGAAGGAGCGAGCTGGGCGGCGTGTGTCAGTGCGCGCGGCGAATGCGGCGAGCGCCGGGAGTCACGCGGAGAGCGGCGGCGAGGGTCGGCTCGGTCGGCGGGGCGAGGCTGCCTGAAACTCTCTCGCTCAACGAAACGATCGAGCTTCTTAGGCGAGTTTTGCGAAACTGGTAACCATGCGGACAGGGTCGGGGGAAGGCGCAACCAGGGCGAGGGGTCTAGCGGGCAGTCCAGGAGAATGCGCGAGCCGTGGAACTCGACCAGCGCGCCGAGCGGCGCTGCCATGTCGACTGGTCGAGGCACGCTCTTGGGCCGTGCGGAAGCAGGATCGGATCGTCAGGTTCGTTCGCGTCGGTGGAAGCGAATTAGGGCAGTCCTCGTTTGCTCAGGCCTTCTGTGCGGTCCCAATGGTCCGAGGAGGCATAACAGGAGACAGAAGGTCGAGGATGGTAAGCAACAAGACGAGACGTAATCGTCGGATGGGTTGCGTGTATCAACCCTTATTTTGAACAATTTCACTTCCCCCCCACCTTTTTCTTTCCATTTTGCTAGGGTTTGTCTGGCAACAGTGTCTCATTCTTGTTCGGCTCGTCCCTCCCTCGTTGCACCTCGTTCTCCGCTCTTTGCTCGTGCCTGGTTCTTGCTCGTACTGAATAGTCCTCACTACCTATTCCTTGCTCACACTTAGTTCCTTGCCCATAGTACCTAGTTTGAGGTCAAATATAGTTCTTGTTCCTTACCACGCCTACCTGCCACCTAGGCCAGACTAGTTGCCCCCTGGTTGCATGTTGATGTCGCCAAGCCCGTAAACCCGCAGGCACGCCAGCGCCTTGCGCGCCGGGGCGTTTCACGCTGCCGCATTGCGCGCTAGCGCGTTTCGCGCTGGCGCCTTGCGCGCTGGCGCGTTTCACGTTGGCGCCTTGCGCGCTGGCGCCTTGCACGCTGGCGCCTGGCGCACTAGCGCCTTGCATGCTGGCGCCCTGCGCGCTGGCGCGTTTTGCGCGCTGGCGCCATGAATATGGCACCGTATATGCGAGTGGCGCCGTGCGAGCCATCGTGTCATCTGCTTGTTGTGATGGTAGGCAAAGGGGGAGGAGGAAGTGGGAGGATGGAGAAGGAAGGGTATGTGCGACGAAACTGCAGGTGAGCGAGCATACCACCGACTGCAGGTGAGAGTCGCTACAGCTAGGCGCATCGCACGTACTAGTTCACTTTCACTTAATCTTGCTTAAGCACCAGTTGTTGGCATACTTGCCTTTGGCGCACTTGCTGTTGCACTTGCCTTTCACGCATTTGCAATCGGCGAACTTGCCTGTGCACACTTGCTGTTGGCGCACTTGCTGTCGGCGCACTTGCTGTCGGCACACTTGCTGTCGGCACACTTGCTGTCGGCGTGCTTGCTGTCAGCGTGCTTGCTGCCGGCGCGCTTGCTGTTGGCTGTCGGCACGCTTGCTGTCGGCGCGCTTGCTGTCGGCGCGCTCGCTGTTGGCGCGCTCGCTGTCGGCGCGCTTGCGGTTGGCATGCTTGCTATTGGCGCACTTGCATTTGGCGCCCTTGCTGTCGGTGCCCATGCTGCTGGCACGCTTGCTGTTGGCGCGCTTGCTGTTGGCACGCTCGCTGTTGGCGTGCCCGCTGTTGGCGCGCTTTCTCTCGGCGCGCTTTCTGTCGGCGCGCTTGCTTTGGGCATGCTTGCTGTTGGCGCACTTGCTGTGGGCACACTTGATATTGGCACACTTGCTTTTGGCGCACTTGCTTTTGGCGCCCTTGCTGTCCGCGCACTTGCTGTTGGCCCACTTGCTGTTGGCGCACTTGCTGCTGGCGCACTTGCAGCTGCACTTGCCTTACGCGCACTTGCTGTTGGCGCACTTTCCAGTGTGGACCTGCTGTTAGCGCACTTGCTGTTGGCGCAATTGCTATTGGCGCACTTTCTGTCAGCGCGCTTGCTCTGGGTGTACTTGCTGTGGGCGCGCTTGCTGTCGGCGCGCTTGCTGTCGACGCGCTTGCTGTCGGCGCGCTTGCTGTCGGCGCGCTTGCTGTCGGCGCACTTGCTGTTGGCTGTCGGCGCGCTTGCTGTTGGCGCGCTTGCTGTTGGCGCGCTTGCTATTGGCGCGCTTGCTTATGGGGCGCTTGCTGTGGGCACGCTTGTTGTGGGCACGCTTGCTGTGGGGGCGCTTGCTATCGAGGCGCTCGCTGTCAGCACGCTCGCTGTCGGCGCGCTCGCTGTCGGCGCGCTCGCTGTCGGCGCGCTCGCTGTCAGCGCGCTTGCTGTCGGCGCGCTCGCTGTTGGCGCGCTTGCTGATGGGCTGCTTGCTGTGTGGGCACTTGCTGTAGGGGCGCTTGCTGTCGGCGCGCTCGTTGTTGGCGCGCTCGCTGTTGGCACGCTCACTATTGGCGCGCTCGCTGTTGGCGCGCTTTCTATCAGTGCGCTTTCTGTCGGCGCGGTTGCTTTTGGCATGCTTGCTGTTGGCGCACTTGCTGTTGGCACACTTGTTGTTGGCGTAGTTGCTGTTGGCACACTTGCTGTTGCACTTGCCTTTCGCGCATTTGCTGTTGGCTCACTTGCCTGAGCGCACTTGCCTAAGCGCACTTGCTGTTAGCGCACTTGCTGTTGGCACACTTGCTGTTGGTGCAATTGCTGTCGGCGCACTTGCTGTCGGCGCGCTTGTTGTCGGCGCGCTTGCTGTCGGCGCGCTTGTTGTCGGCGCGCTTGCTGTCGGCGCGCTTGCTGTCGGCGCGCTTGCTGTTGGCGCGCTGGCTATGGGTGCGCTCGCTGTCGGCGCGCTCGCTGTCGGCGCGCTCGATGTCTGCGCGCTCGCTGTCGGCGCGCTCGCTGTTGGCCGGCTTGCTGTTGGGGGGCTTGCTGTTGGCGCGCTTGATGTTGGAGCGCTGTCGGCGCACTCGCTGTCGGCGCGCTCGCTGTGGGCGCGCTCACTGTCAGCGCGCTCGCTGTTGGAGCGCTGTCGGCGCGCTCGCTGTCGGCGCGCTTGCTGTCATTTGCTGAGTTGCTCAGGATGTGGGAGCTCCGAACTGCAGCGAAGCAGACGCCAGTTATGCATCTGACCCGTTCAACTATTTCCTTGGTTGAGAAAGACACGAGTGACCAGAGCAAATCCGAGGAGACCACCACCTGCAGCATCGCCTCCAGCACGCCCTGCTTGGCAATTAGCTCAACAAGCAGCACGGTTGTCAGCGAGAGTAGCTGCACACCTTGTTTGGTCAGCAGTGATGCGAGTTGTAGTGATGACGTCAGTAACGCCAGCTGCAGTGACGCCAGCTGCAGTGATGACGTCAGTGACGCCAGCTGCAATGTTGACGTCAATGAAGTCAGCTACAATGCTGACGTCAATGAAGTCAGCTGGAATGCTGACGTCATTGAACTCATCTGCAATGCTGACATCAATGAAGTCAGGTGCAATGCTGACGTCAATGAAGTCAGCTGCAAAGCTGACGTCAAAGAAGTCAGGTGCAATGCTGCAGCCAGCAGCATGATGAGCAGCTGTGCTTCCAAACAACAGCTTCTTCAGTTTTTCAAGTATGGCTGTTATGGTGAATATGATAGCAAGGATGTGGGGATCGTCGTCAGCCAAGAGGCCGGCTTCAAGACTGGGAGCAGCCAAAGCAAGGTTGCTGCCCTCTCTTATTCCAAAACCAGGAGGCAGCAAGAGAGAGGTGACAGTGACGGCGTGGAGAAGAAATGACGCAGCCCTGCTCTTGTAATGGTGCATCCTGAAGAGGAACGGGGGGAGTAGTGGGGGGGGAGAGGGTTGGGCTCCGGGAAGAGGAAGAAGGGTTGTCCTAGGAATAGCCAAAACTTGAAACAACGGTTGTCTGCTGGAGGGCTGACGTTTCAAAAAAAGCCACTCTAAGCCAACCCCCTTGAAAAAAAATATATTCTGAAGGGCCTTCAGCCAAAATTTCGGTACTCTGAAACGTCAGAGTCCAGAACTAAGCTTATCTGATTTTCTCAGAGTCCAGCGAGTACAACCAGAGTTAAAAACGAATAGAGACGGAAATTTACGAAACTTTTAAGGATACTGACAATGATGCCAGAGCATGATTTTTTTCTGGCCCTTAGAATGGGAGAGACGAAACAATTATTTTCTAATAGTCGTCCCTTTTAGAGACATTATCGTCCGTTGCTCGTTTGGTCAACTGAAAGTCTATCAAAATTTGACGGCCTCGATCGATTGCGATCGTTTCGACATGTTTCGACCGATCGATGGTCGCTAAAGATTGACATCCAAGATCTCCCAACCGGGGCGCTGCAAGGGCGCGAGGTTTCTCCCACCGCTCTATTCGCCCAGCTTGCCCCCTCTCCCTACGGGTAGTTTTGATCCCCCCCTCCCACTCCATTTTCGATCCCCCCTCCCCCTCTGTTTCGCTTCCCCCCCTTCATCCGTTTCGATCTCCCCCTTTCACCTCCATTTCGCTTGCCTTCTCCTTGTGCCCAGCTCACCCTCATATCTGTTTTAGTTCTGTTTCTGACTTAAGCCAATTTTTTGGGCTGTTTGGGTCGGGGTGTTAGGGTGACTATGTTTGATAACCCTACTTAGCCGAAATTTTTGATATGTTGTGGGGTGTGTGGGGGATGTCTCTAGCGTTCGGGGACTTAGCCAAAATCTTCGATGGGTTGTGAATGTGCTTCGCTCTGTCCTCTAGTTGTGGTTCCTGACACACGAGGATCATGGCCCTGTTGTCAGCATACAAGACCGGGGCAGAGCTAGGCTGCTCACCTAATTCAGTGAGCAAGAACGTCAGCTGCCTGGGCACCAACGTAGATCTCAGCCTCATAGCTGGACTTGGCAACAGACAACGAGCGGGTGGACCTCCATGAGATGGCGCCTGCACCAAGGCTAAAGAAGTAGCTCTGGGAGGACCTAAGCGTCTCAGCATCGTCCGCCCACGAAGTGTCTGTATGCCCAGTAAGGACCACTGGCCTGCGTCCTCCCAGCACTTGCCCCATGCCCCAGTACTTGCTAGATACCGCAAAACCCTCTTAGCGGCCGACCAGTGCTGAGGTCGGTGTCTGCCTGACGCTACAAAGCGAGCCAGGATACTAAGAGGGTATGCAAGATCTGGACGAGCGGAAGTAATCAGGTACATGAGGCAGCCCACAAGCTCTGCATACAAACTACGTGGCTCAACCGACTTGTCAGGAGCTGGAGCCGAGAGCTTGTGGTCTACTGGTAGAGGCGTAGGCTGTGCGGAGAAGAACTGAAGACCGAACCTCTAAAGGACCTAGCGCACCAAGTGTGACTGTGTGAGAGTGATGGTGCGCGTTGCTCTGTCCCTGGAGATCTGCAGGCCAAAGTAGCGGTGCAGCTCTCCTAGGTGAGTACACGTGTGTCTTGTCAGCAGCTCGGCCTTCATTGAGGCCAGTGCATCTCTATCTGTAGTAGCGATGACCAGGTCGTCTACGTAGAC